TGTTTCGTCCATTCAGTTTAGTTAACACTATGACGTTGGTTGAAGTTGATAGATAATTGAAATGATATAAGCATAAAATGGACAATCTTAAGATTAGCAATTTCTTTACTAAGAGGCTTGATCCCATATAAAACTTTGATAATAAGCTATCAATGATTTACAAATGATTACAACAAATCTTCTTTAGAACAAGATGGTCAAATTATAATTGATTCACTTTATCCAAGATATTATTACAATAATGCATAGTAACCAAACAAAAAAATAAAAAAAGATAAATAAACAACTCACCTTGTATTAAATGTAATAAACATAGTGAAAAGACTAATGTTGTAATTGAATAAAATTTAATGTGATACATTGGACATTTAAAGGGAAAAAAATATTCAATCAATTGTTTTTATGAGCACTACTCATGTATGGATAGATTGATAAATTAGTGTAACCAATTTGGCTTATCAACCAACTAATGAAATTTATTCAATTATGAATGTGTTAGTTAACAACAACAAATTTGTGTCTTCACTATTCTATCAGAATCTATAACTAGTACTGTACATGTTTGGGTCACAATCTTTTTTTTGTTTCCATCTTTTGGACTAATATTAAAAAAAAGAACCATTAGGATTAATATACTTCTTTCTTATTTACTCTACTCTTAGTTACCTTTCTCTTCCTTTCTTTCATCCTAATGTTTTGTTTTTCCTGTATATACATATATGTGTATACTTGTATATAGTTGTATAAGACAGTAGTTTGAGACAAGAATTAATAAGTATACACAAAATTCTTGCACAACAAATAGACATTACAAATGTGTGTTTATTTGTGCTATTCATTGGATGTGTGTATGCACTCCTAATAGTTACCGCCATAGATATCTATTCACCTTTTCATAAATTAATGATTTCTTTCCTTCTTTCTTTCTTTTTTGAAACAAGATTTGGATTAGTGAATCTTTGTTGTGTTTTTTCTTTCTTCTTCTAGTTTTTGGTTACATAGAAAGATAGAATCTATTAGTGCTTAGTGTTATTGTCTAAAATCTAGAATAAAATATAAATTTATCAATTTTGTAAAATAGGTAATAACCAAGATATACGAAAAAAATCGAACTTAATTAGGAATTTCATAGAATACAGTTTTTTAAATATAAATGTTTTACGTCAATTTGTGCTAGAAATGAAGACGGGAAAATTTACCTTAAAGGATATAGACAATCGAATAAACAGGATCAGTGTACCTTATAGCACATATTCACTAACACCCACACTCATACACTACGTTTATCTTAATGCCAATATTATGTATTATATATCGGACATTTATAAGATTAGGACACAAACAAGTTATATATACCATAGAGAAAGAAAGTTATAGGGAGAATGACATTGAAAGAATGAAAAGCAATAAAGTGAATAATATAATCATTGTAATCATTTCTTTCTGTTCTAGATTTTAGACTAAAGAAATGTGTTCAATTTTAAGTAAATGTTTGTATATGTCTGTAATTCAATGATTGGTTATCCTATTTTTCATTTATGTATTAGAAATACATTTGAAAATGTCAAAGGATAAATATATTTTTATTATTATATTATGAAATAAAGATTTTATTTTCATAGATTATACAATTTGAAGTTTACATTGGTTAGTTTATCTAATGAAAATAGGATACTTATCAGAAGAGGTTTGTGTAGATTTTAGAAATTTCACAGATTGAAATCATGAGTTAATTGAAGTTAGACCACCATGGAAAACCTGAAAGCACTGGACGGCCGCTTGGTCCTAGTATGGGACTCCTCAGCAGTGCACATCCACGATCCCGCACCTCGCGAGATTAGGACCCAGGACCTATCAGTCTCGCGCTAAGCGGTTAACCAACTAGACCACTGAGCCAGCATCCAACGGTGTTAATGTCTAACTTCAACCAATCCACGAAGTTGCGCCACTGTATATCATTGAATCTCGTGGGGTGCGGGATCGTGGATGCGCACTGCTGAAGAGTCCCATACTAGGACGAAACGGCCGTCCAGTGCTTCCGGGTATTCCATGGTGGTCTAGCTTCAATTGACTCATGATTTCAACTATTGAAATTTCTAAAAATTTTCCACAAAACCCATTGTGATAATAATATTGATTTTATTTATTGATATTTAGTATCAAATATGTCAGTAGCTGTTTTATTTAATGCTCGATTTAATTGAGTTCCTATGATTCAAAGCACATAGTGCCAATTTCTTGTCGGTTTTGTCAAACGTCGAAGTATTTTTCTGTAAGTCTTCGGATAGCGGTTCATTTCTATACATTTCTATACATAAACAATCTGTGGACTTTTTTGCTCCACTGAATTTTGTGCTATAATTTAGATGCTCATTGAGGACATTGAAGTTAATGTAATCGAAAATTATTTAAATATCTGTTGCACAAAGCTTTGGTCATTTACTCATATGACATATTTGAAGAGGAAAGAATACTTATCCATGATTTACTAAACAAAAATAAATAATCATCAAAGTTCCTGATGAAGCATATATTGATAATTAAGTCTAAAAATGTCACTGTCAGTAAGTAAAAAGCCACAATTCCTGAAATTATAATTTAAAGTCGATGTAGCCAGTCAAAGTGAGTTTACATATCAAGAAGAACTGAGGATAAACATTTATCGCTGCAGCACTATATTCTCCTTTCTTCGTTTATTCATTAATGAAATCGGTAATGAGCTATTTCCAGTGATCAAGAAATAAAGATAAATTATCTACTCCTCCCTTCATCTATTTGTGTGTACCATTTTAATTGCTGTTGTAGAGCCATTCATATCGACTATACTACCAAACCATTACATTCTTTGATTTCTGAACTTCATTTTATATGGTTTACTAAAGGTGACGATAAAACAATATGTATCTCTTAACTGGGACTGAATGCCACAATTACACAAGTTCGACTTTCAAGGTTATTCACCAAGTTCCATTGAACTTTCTATATGATTCTCGAATCAGTTTATTACAAAGGATCCCGTAAGTTTGTACAGCCTCTTTCATTTACTTTGACTTTTTACATAGCTATACTTCTGTCTCTCAAAATATTCTTTTCAATTATCCATTCTTTTCATCTTAATTCAGTTTTAATTTCTAAATTTATTATGTAATTTACCCTAAACATCTATCTAGTTTTCTTCTCACTGACAAGTAACATTGAACATTCATAAGCAATGGCTTAATTTCGAACTATTCTCATACCTGTGTAAGTAGCTGTAATAATCAGTTGATTATGTAATATAGTTTTAGTCGTATTCTTAATTTTAACTTTCCATCCATTGATTTACCACGAATTGTTTACTATATTCAAAACAAATTTTATGATAAACATTGTCGAATAGATCTATCAGTTATTTGATATTGATTTTATACTTCGTCTAAAAACTAATGTACAGCACTGACAGGAAACTGCTCGAAAAAAATATTGCATAAGATGGTGGTTGAAGATAGTCAACAGGAAACTCTGGAACCAGGTTTTGTCCTATTCAACACTCGTCAGCAAGGTGTACCTGTAATTTTGTGGGAACTGATTCTCACTGACGAATTCGTTCCCGTGTCACCTAGCTTCACAGTCAGAAATGTTACCACTGGGCAATCAAATTTATGACATAATTAAGAAGCAAGATTTTCTTTGGTTTTACAGTAGTTTAGAATAAAATGTTGAAACACTCTAATAAACGATGTAATTGATTTCCATCATCATGTAACTATGAATAAATCCATTCAAGTTCATTATGATTTATATTGACTATCAAAGTATAAGTGAATAAATAAAGAGACAGTGATTAATAATTAATTAACTATTGTGTAGATACACAATGATTTGATAACCACATCATACTACGATTCACTATCAAGTTGAAACTTTTTACTATTGACATATCTAAAAGATGATCGAATTATTTTTAAAACGAAAGAACAAAACTTATAGTCTTCTATCCTTTCCTCATTGAAACTGTAACCAGTAAATTAACATTAAAAGACTATTTAGAGATTCTAATCAAGAATATTTATTAGTTTTCAATCATCTTATTTAGCTGATTTCTAATACGACACCTCGGTTCTTACTGCGTTTCTTCCATTAATAGATATATATACAGTAACGAGATAATGAATAACTTAATTTAGTCATCAATATTAGTTGTTATTATGTTTATATTTAGCTAAATATAACTTGACATATATTCTCAACTGTTTTGGTAACTTTTAATGTGTATATATAAGTATAGATGTATCTATGTATAAACTGAATGTACACCTATACATAGATCCACCGGTAAAATTTCAGAATATTCTTAGTATATTCTTTCTTATTAAAGTAATAAATTGTGCCCAATCAAATAACTACACTGATTGGTTCTTCCTTTCTTTTAAAGGAACAAAATATATTTCTTCATACCTATAACAAATATACATTTGCACTTATTAGCACTCAGCAAATATAAAGTTATATACATATACATATACCACCCTATACATATGTACATGTCTATTAGAATACAGATTTAAGTAATGATAAACAATAACCGATTGTTAGATGAATGAATCAAATTTTTACTTACATGATATAATCCTTATAAAGACAAATCAAATAGAATAGTGTATGTATGCACTTAGTTTTCTTCATAAAAATAATAAAAATAATAATAATAAAACTATACACAAACATGCACACAATTACACAATCATTATTCAATTACACATTGAATAAATTTCTATGAATGAAATTTGTGAAAAATTAAAACAATTCATAAATTTGATTTAAAATCTTATTATAAAATTGCCTTAGTAACTAACAAACATGTATTTGTCTTTTCATTTCTTTTCTCCTCTTTTTTTTCAAATGAATATAAAATTACTACTTATATAAATTAATAGAAAGAAGATTTTGTTACATACTACTTATAAGAAAAACAAATAAACAATTGTGATTAGTAAGAGAGAGAGAGAGAGAGAACAAAAATGTTATTCCATCTTATTCTAATTCATTGTATTATTTATATGGTCAATGCTCAAGGTAAGTTGATCTATTCAATAATAATATTTGTTTTATTTTATTTTATTGATTCACTTTACTTATCATAGACTTCTATCATGAAATGTTGAAAGTTAACGTAAGGATCTGATTTTTATTCTATGAATCTATGGTTAATTTATTGAAAGTGTAGCTCTTTCGTTCTTGCCACGTAAAGAACATGTTTGAATATCACATAGAGCAATTCATTTTAGATTAAGTATATATATATTATGCATAGATCCCCAAGATCCCGGAATGAGAAACAAAGACGTCGGAGGGATTGAGAGCTTGATTTTTCGAGGGTCCCTCTATATGTTAGGACAATGGGGGTTTGTCTGATGGTGGAAACATTATGGCCGCTAGATGACAGGAAGTGTATAATCTTATTATGTAATTTATCATGATGCATAATTTTCTATGAACCTGTTAGATACTAGTTACAATTCAATGATTAGATAGTATGAGTTCGATTCTGGTCTAAATGTTTTGATCGAGATAATTATTCTCATTTGTGTTAAACTATGACCACAGATTATAATCATTCTATTGACTGATTGACAGATAAATCATGATGTTTTATGATTGTTTAATGATTATAAATTAACTAGATATAAGTTTTTGGTCCACCAGGGTGCTTGGTCCCTGTGTGCTTGCGCTACAGGATTAAGCTGTACTATTCAGATTGTATCGTTAAAGCCTGTACGGTGTCTGGTTCCCCTCCTAAACGGATTTGAGCTGTACTGTTTGGGTTTCTACGTGAAAGTCTGGATGGTGTCTGGTTCTCCTGAAAACCAATGTAAAATTACCCTGGCCCACATTGGTATAATATATAATTAAAAAATTGTGATATAATTCTGGATGTATTGAATGTCAGTTTCATTTCTTTATAGTAAATTTTAGTGTTTTGTATATTATAGTGTAGTGAACAGAACACGGGGGAGGACAATCAACTGCGTTTAATACGTAATTACAGAGTTACTTGGTAAAATAGAAAAACCATATAGTAAACCGTTAATTTGCAAAATATCATTCCATCATATCAAACCGGACTGTTGCTGTTACAATCATCAATCTATTGTCTAACATTTCATTGTTCATGCGTTTTCTTACAAATTGCATTGTGTTGTCGCTCTTTCTATCTTGATCTTCCCCCATCTTCTGCTGCCACACATTACGTTCTTGACTCGCGTCATATACTACTTACATCAATATAAGTACCACGCATCACAATAGAATTCAAACTGTTTAATTTAGTGATCTTCCTTTTCAATTCGTAAACTTGATACAATTGGCTTGAATGGCTACCAATTATAGTTAAACATGTATCTTTTATATTTAAGAATATCATTTTAGTTATTATTATAATGAGGTTGATTAGTCGCATATTTAATAAATTGCTAGACTGGATATTATTAAAAACTTAAAAATTTTAAGTTCACTTTTGATATTGAGTTATATAAGAAAAGATAGATCTTAGCTAATATTTTCGTTCAGGACACATGTTTTTTTCCTATTTGGGACTTGTTTGTTGGATGTATTTGCATCTCAGAGTTGATATTCACTTTGACATTCGAATCTAGTACCATTCATTTCAAATGCTATCGAATTATTCACTTAGCTACTGAATCCTCTTTGTTTGAATCTTTACATTGATGTTTAAAAGTGCAATTGATCATTCATTTTTGTTGATAATCCTTTTGATTTAAAATAATATCAAAACAATCCTCATAGGAGATATATATGCTAATAATGGATTGATCAATTATTGTCCTAAACATTAATGGGATGATTCAAACAAACAATCTTCAAAAAACATAAACGTTCTTAATTCTATCTATTGGTTTGCCTATAATAATGAACTGTATTAAGCCATTGAAATTTCATAAAGGAAATTTGATAATTATTAAATTTTGTATAGTTTCTACATATTAATATACTAACCGTAAACTATCACCAAGTGATTCTTAGCATTATCAAAATGTATGGATATCTATAATAAAATGATAAATAGTTTAAAATTATCTATTTGTTTACCTATTACTTGTAACAATTTGAATAAACAGAACAGAATTATCATTAAAGAGTACTTACTCCCGAATACCTTGATATAGCCAAAAGTGGGAACAGTCATCTCTCCCTCTCCAAATGCTCTCACATGGCCACGTACATACAAACACTGCCAAGGAAGTTCTATTCACTGCCTTTTCGTGGTATTACTGTTGTTTATGAAATTGAGAAGACGAAAAGCGAATTTCCAAAGCTTTAACCAGGTTAATGAATATGGAGGTTCCACCTGAGAGAGTTGGAAAACCCTAATTCCAAACCAATGGTGTACATCGGCTTCAGGATCTTGAAGGAATGAATGGCGTATGAACTAATTATTGGTCACTGGCTACCAAAAGACTGCATCTCCTAACATTGCTCCGCTGCCTCGTAGATTAGACGTTTAGGTCGAAGACTGCAGGTGTGGCCCCCTAAGATGACCATCAGCTTTGGTTTGAGCACCCTGTCAGTATCACAGCCCTCATATAAATCGAATGATTTACGTGACCCGAATCTATTTGGTACCTCCGTATACCAATGTTTATATGTTTAAATAAATAAATAATAAAAAGTACTGACAAATGGATTAGTAATGAAATTATTTAACACTTAGTTTTGCATAGATTATAGGGAATAAAACAATTTTGCAGATATACTATAAGAAATATTCTAAATTAAATTACTCCTCTAACCATCTATAGGATTGTAGTGAGTTGATATGTAAATTATTTTATTATGAATTTAGTCATTAGAAATCTCAATAAATTTTAGTTACCATGATCATGTTCAATTACTTAACGAATTAATTTTTTTGAATGGATTGTTATTGAAAGTGTCTTATCATGGGATGAAGTCTATTGTTACTAGACATTTTACTTTAGAGTAATGAACAAACATATTGGAAATATGGTGCTTAAAAGAGAGAGAGAGAGCGAGAGAAAAAGTGATATATGCAAATGATTAATCACGACGGAATTAATATAAATCTTTAAATTTAATTGTTGAATACATGAGTCAATCTATGCTAGACCACCACTGAAAACCTGGAAACACTAGATGGCTTCTTCGTCTTAGTATGAAACTCTTCAGTAGTGCGCGTCCATGATCCTGCACCCAAGACCTTCAGTCTCACGTACTAACACTTAACCTTTAGATCACTGAGCTGACTGTCATCAAACGATGGTAATGTCTAACTCCAACCAATCCAAGATATTGCACCATCGTCCATCATTTTCTTTAATAAGTAACTGCCTCATTGTTGAGGAGTCCCATACTGGGACGGAACAACCGTCCTATGCTTTCATGTTTTCCATGGTGGTCTAGCATAGATCGACTAATGAATTCAACTACTTAAAAAAACGCTACAATCATCACAAACCTTCCATTCTGATAAAAATCTTTAAATTTCAATACAATTTTACAGTTAGAACTTATATAGATATTTTTCAGATCTATTATTACAATATTTCAAGGAAATCATCAAATTTGTGTAATTATTAAACAGCCTTATTGTAGAATAGATAAACTAATATCCTTGTCTATTTTAAATTATATGTAACATAGATGACTAATTCTTATCATTTTCAATGGTTAAGATAATGAGTCAGTTGAAGCTAGACCACCATGGAAAACATTGAAGCAATGGACGGCCTTTCGTCCTATTGTGAGACTCATCAGCAGTGCGCATCCACGACCTCTCTCCCTGCGAGATTCGGACCCAGGACCTACCAGTTTCGCGCGCGAGCACTTAACCACTGGACCACTGAGCTGGCCGGCATCCAACGGTGTTAATGTCTAGCTTCAACTAATCCAGGAAATTGAGCGACACATTTTGTTTGAACAGTTAACATTTAATCCACCTTAATATCCATTAAATTTGCCTTAAAATGATGTAATTTATGCGGAATTGAACATGTTTATGTTCTGAAAAAAATATGCTTCAAGTAGGACTAATTTCAGATAGATTTGAGTTAATATATAGAAGGTTCATTGTTAACAATATCAACCTGATTGATTCAATTTTTTCCTTACATTGCTAGTGAAATATGTTTCAATTAATCTCTTAGTCAATATCTATAAAGTAGTATCGAAGTTTAAAAGTAATCATTCGAATTAATCACATACTTACATGTTAATTTCGAATTCCTAGATGCTAATCATTGAGCCTACTTTTTTATTCTAATCACCTATATATATATATATATATATATATATATAGTATTTATATGAATAATAAGACATAAATATGTCTTATGATCAAAGATGGATAATCACTAGAAGTGGAATCCAGGATGCGTGTTTCGTCTTATTTGGGACTCGCCAATTGGATGTACTTGCATCTCGGAGTTAATGTTCACCCCAATAGTCGAACTCAGTACCATTCGCTTCAAACACCATCACGCTATCCATTTAGCTACTGAGTCGTCAACATCAATTCTGAGATACAGATACATCCAACTGACAAGTCTTAAATAGGACGAAACACGTATCTTGAAATCCATTGCTAGCCACTATCCATCTTTGCTTATAATATTTGTGAATTAAAGTAATATCGAGGCAATACACATAAGTCAATAATAGACTGATCAATTGCAGTGCTAAACATCAGTGTTAAGATTCAAGCAAACAATAACAAGTGGATATAAGTATATCAGTTATTTGACATAATTTATACAAACTTCATCTCGAAAACTAATCAATTATGTGGGGATATTTATTTACCAGATCTGAATGATTTAATTGTGAAACTTTAGTTTTTATTCTGAACAAAAGGAATAAGAATGAAAATGTCCCCTTAACTATGATATATTCATGTTTGTCAATATTATTTCAAATTGATTATGATTAGAGTCAATACATTCAAACAAATAATAGATTAATGGTATGTCTCAATAAAGTGTTAATGTTGTATAATCTTTATTATGGACTTCTAATGTCTTTATTGACTCAAAATAGACGTTTTCAATCTCTAAAGGAACATTAGTTCTTAGAGTACTGGGAAACAAAACAAAATATACTGAATATGTTATCCATTCCAACTTTAAGATTGTGTGTAGTACATAATTTCAAGTTTCTTTTCCAACAGTAAATACAGAATTCATAATTTCCAGTCAAATTCAATATTAACTTCATTGAAAACAAATATTAAGAACTTTCTTATTTCAATCTATTTATTATGGTTAACTTATATTTTCTAAATTATAATTTGTGAATTATGAATAATGAAGAATATTTTCTTTTATTCTTTTAGGTTGTACAATGGACGATGGGAGAGTTTTATCCCCCGGTGAAGAAGTTCGATTAGCAAATTTTCCATGTGCAATATGCCGTTGTGATCCAAATACACGTGAAGTTGTTTGTGAAACAGAAACTTGTCCAACTTTACAATGTGGAGAAGATGAAGGACAACTTCTAGAACCTGGTCAATGTTGCCCAGAATGTGTTGGTAAATTCATTTGCACTTCTTTTTCTAATTACTGAAATGACTGTTTGATGCCTATTAAAATTAATATTTAACGATTGGTTCAAAATTAAAAAAATTTTCTCACTAAATTACTATGATAATTTTAAAATAGTTTACATCACTGACTGAGTTTAGAAGAAAGCATAAAACAGTTTTTGTGTTCTAGTATGAAACTATTAAGGAGTTTGGAATCAAGATCCAATTACATAATATAACCATAGACTTCATTTCTCAAACCAATCATATAATTTTCAGACCGATTCTTCCAGATTTTAGACGGTTATATAAACAGTTCTCGCATTCAACGGTCTCCATAAAACTACAGTCCTGATTGAAGAGTTATGAAACTATTTATTTATACATCTTAACACATAGATATTGGTACAATGAAGCACCAAATACATATTCACCACGCAAATCTCATTTGATATGTGTGAGAGCTGTGATACTGACAGGGTTCCTAAACCGAAGCTGGCGGTCATCTTAGGGAACCACACCTGCAGTCTCCGACCTAAAGGTCTAATACACGAGGCAGTGGAACGATGTCGGGAGATACAGTCTTTTGGTAGCCGGTGACCAACAATTGGTTCATACGCCATTCATTCCTTCATGATCCTGGAGCTCGTATGCACCATTAGTTTGGAATGAGGGTTTTCCAACTCCCCTAGGTGGACTCTCCATGTCCATCAACCCGGTTAAAACGCCGGACCTTCGCTTTTCGTCCTCTCAATTTCGTAAACAACAGTAATGCCACGAGAGACAGTGAGTAGGACTTCCCTGGTAGAGTCTATGTACGCGTGGCCATGTGAGAGCATTTCGAGAAGGAGAGATGATTCTCCCCACTCTCGGCCGTACCAAGGCATTTAGGGGCATGAAACTAAAAGAGACAATTTTAATATTATAGAGGCAAAATCATTTTGTAAGACTACTGAAATGATTGTATTAGTCAAGTACATCATCTACTCACGTAATCGAGCCACAAATCACAACCAAACAATGTCAGAATAAAGTACGACTGACTAACTATATATATATATATATATATATATATATATATATATATATATATATATATATATATATATATATATATATATATATATATATATATATATATATATATATATATATATATATATATATATATATATATATATATATTCGGTTAATATAACACAATTGAATTGGTCATCAGGTGATTATTCGTAGCTGGAAACGAAAACCACTGATAAATCAGTATTTATCTAATACTGTTTATTATATCAAAGTAATTATCGTTGGGCTTAGTTGACTGAGAGTTATTGTATGAAATGTATAAGGTAATTTACTTGCCATACACATTATAAATTAGAAAAAAGATTGAATAAAATTACTATTTGTGTAACATTCCACTTACCTAAACTGACACAGCATCATAACAGTAAATCAAAGGTTTATAAATTCGCTTCCGTTTATTTCTATGACATCAGTAACATATTATTCTGATTTATGTTATTAATTTCAATTTTTAATGGTTTACTATTAAAGCCCAATTTAATTGACAAAATACGTAATAATTCGCCATTTTTTACTCTTCTTTGTTTCATTTCTAAAAAAAATTAAAGCGAAGAGTCGTGTGGTAAGTACAGTTTAATAATATAATAAATTATTATTCAGTATACTACTCTGCTATTGAATTCATCCGACAATTTATGTTCAGTCATAAGTGTTTTTACATGGGTAGTTTCTTAGTTAAGGAACTTTATTCAAGCTGCTAGAAGAGTGGAATCATATGCACTTAACAGGATATTAGACTTAAATGATTTTTTTAACCATTAATTGATCTCATAAAACTGAGATTCTCAAAGTAAATGAAATGTTCAATGATGTCACGAAGCTAGAATATAGTGACAAAACTTTTAGTGATACATTTTATCTACTTATAGTTTATCAGTAGACAATAATTATCCAGTAAAAACTACATGAAAAGAGAATGAATATTTCAGTAAACTAATAATTTGTGACAATGATCTCATTTTCGTTGGCATAATATAGCAATAATAAGTTATCGTTTTATTAATTGAGACGAGTATCAATCTTCTGACTTTTAGTTGAACTGTGTTCCATTAAGATACTTGTATGTATTGCGATAAATATGTTTATTGTTCCATTACAGTCAAGACAATAAATTTAATATTTAAAACAAAATAATTTAGCTGATATATGGTGAAAAACAAAATAGAATGTATGTTCTATTCGTAAAACAGAGCAATTGAAATAACCATGAAAAGAAGAGAATCATTCAAACCACTTTAAGAAAAGAAAACAAATCTGAATCAATTGGGATAATGAATGAGACACTAACTTGTACTGAACGATAACATAAGTAGGGACAATCGAATGTATTTGGAAACAAAATTATAGATCATTTTAGTAGAATCTGAGAACTATAAAATAACTACTTCATTTGCAAAATATCAGTCAATTGTCTCAAGCTTGACTGTTCCTTTGTTTCCACTCCAATCATTTTCTGTTCTCGTTCTCTTTTCTTCGATCTTCTTGAGATTCTGCTGCGAGTTATTTCACTTTCGTTTTTGATGATACATACTACTTATATCTATCAACACCAGTAGCACACATCACAGACTCAATAGTGAAATTGAACGGGGATTTTTTTTATATCATACATCAGATAAGATTACAAATGTTGACCATTGGATTTTGTTTCATCGCTTCATAATAGTTGTCGACAAAAGCTTTGCATAACCACCAGAAAAATGTAAAATATGTTAATAAATGATATTCATAATGAGAGTAGTCTAATAAATGTAATGGAGAATGAAAAAAACATATCATTCACATAACTCTTCTTTACATGCATTACTCAATAGGAAGTATATAACTAATTAAGCTTCATCAATATAAGTATCAGTTGGACATTCAGATTTGGTAAACTTATTACCAGTATACTTAATATTAAAGGAATAAGACAAATTAATACGGACGTACTGAAAGATCTGTTTTCAAAAAAGGGTTATATTAGAGCTGTAAGATTAATTAACATTCTTCATATTAAACGGAAGAGAAACCACATTTGAACTGTACGTAGGGTGACTAATCCGATGTTTTATTTTGCGAATACTCTTCTGTGCTATTGTCGATAAGTGACTCCATGTTTGTATTCATTTATATTTAGAATAACGTCAGAAGGGTTACTTATTGGTTAACCTGTTTAAGTTTTCTCTGATCGTTTTTAGTTTCAAAATACCAATCAATCTTCTGTGATTCGGATAGGAAAGTAGTATCATTTTTGCTTACACACAAAAATGTCCGATTCAAATTTAATTACACAAAAACATATACGTCATAACTAGGTTGCACCAAATACTATTCAAAGTGTGAGTACTTGCCACTAATAGACAAAAATATTAACAATCGAGTTTCATATAGATTAAGTAAAGCTAATTACAACACTGAATTACGATTGATTTGAGCATCATTTGTGTTAGTTTATTATTCCCTGAGATGGAATACTTGTTGAATTATGGTAGATTTTTCAATTCCAATACAAAATTGACCAGGTGGTATTATAAACTACACGTTCTTTCCATTTGATCAATCTAAACTTGGACAATTTGAAACCTATTTCAAGTATATCAGCATACCAGACAATCGTAACTTAATCATCAAGTCAAATCACCATTTGTTTGCTAATAGTTTGATTAACTGAAATGATAAAACAGTGTTTTTAATATTAACTGTAGTGTTAAATAATAGGATAATGTGGTGTGTGCTACTATAATATAGACATAAGTAGTATATGATGTTAGTTGTGAACAGAATGTCTGGCGACATTCAGACAAGAGGATCGAACAGTAAAGAATAGAAACAAAATGTAATTTGTATGAAAGTGCAAGAACAATGAGGTCCGAGTCATTTTGAGACAATTGATGGACGTTTTGCAAATTACGTATTTACTATTTAATTGTTAGATTTAATTAACAAGTCCTGTAAGGTTGTGTCAAATATATTCGATTGTTCTTCAGTGGTGTTCTGTTCACTATAATAGTACTAAGAAGTATAATTCACTTTATTGTTTTAAAAAAAGCAGTCAAACATCGACCTTCGATATCTTTCTTATTCGGTGTCGATATCAGGTGTTGTATTAATTTAAATGTCCTGACATTTTTTACTTGAGTTGACAAAAACTCATCATAAGTATAAAATTAAGCATAGATATTCACCTAATGTTCATTACTTTGATTTAAATCGAAACGCTCAGTTTTTCACAATGAACTTAGTAAGTTTTAAGACACTCTACATTACACTCTACATATTTATCTGATCAATTAGGAACCAGTACTACCCCAAGCTACACCTCGTACATACACTGACGAACCAAGGTCAACAAGAACACCTAGACCAACTGCCGAACCAGCACAAACTCTACCACCTCCACCACCACCATTACCTGATGGGTCTCCAGGACTTAGAGGACCTGTTGGACCGCCTGGACCTCCTGGACCACCGGGAGATCCTGGTTTCGATGGTGAAAATGGATTACCTGGTATGCCTGGTCTCCCAGGTCCAGTAAGTTTCATAATTTCAAATACTTGATTTTTTTATACAGTTTACAATTTATGATGAATACCAGCTTATGAATTGTTATTTAATTTTTTAATAAACAGGTACAGAAAACATTCTTTTGATCAAAGTGTACAAACTTTTAGGTAAATAATAGAGAACGGGCGGGGTCGTGGATGCGCACTGCTGAGGAGTCCCATACTAGGACGAAACGGCCGTCCAGTGCTTCCAGGCTTTCAATGGTGGTCTAGCTTCAACTGACTCATGATTACAATCTGTGAAAATAAACTAAAGATCAATAAGATCATTGAAAATCAATTCTCTACCTTCTTCTAAATATCATTGATTCATATTGGAACTAAGTTTAGCAAATTGTAAATTTTGGAATTCATTTTAATTTATCTAGAAATTACACAAACATGAATTTATGATTTACAGTTGATTGAACTAGATTATGAGACATATCCATATATAATTTTGTTACATCTCTTTATATACATTTATCAACCATAACATAATATAGATGTAAGGACACTTAAATATGTAACATTCTAAGTAATTTAAAGCTGATAATTAACTAGTTACATAATACATGAAAATATTGTTTATATCTGTTTAGATAGAATATTTGATCAACACTCTATTACAATTAGTTATATAATATTACCATTGTGAACCCGGGTAATTTTTCATTGGTTTTCAAAAGAACCAAATACCATCTAGACTTTCACATGATAACTCAAACACTACAGTTCAATCTCGTTTAACAGGAGAGTCAGACATTTCCCAGGCTTACATTTTATAACCTGAGCAGTACAGCTCAATCCTACGTCACAGGAGAATCAGACAATTAGATCTGAATCTTTGGTGAATATGATGTATAAAATGAAAATTTACCTTAAGATTAACTTTCAACCTTAAGCTTACACTGTTTAGATTACTCATAGTTGAAGTTTTAGATATTTATGTTAGTTTAATGACTGGCGAGCTAGACGATAGTTTAAATTATAAAAAGGATTGAATATATCAATATTGAAACACTTTTAGTGTTTTCTGAACAAAGTTCTCGTATTGGATATCTTAACAAATTCTAATTTTGCTTCAGATTGCTATGTAAAAAAATTATTTCTCAAAACAATCAATTATTTTCATTTTCTCCCAATTACAGATGTAGGCTTCACACACTTAAATCATACTGTAAGGAATGAGGTTAAACTATATAATCGCTTAGTAAAATATGAATATTTAATTTGCAAATTTCCATCTATTGTCCTTCACGTTCTGTATGGTTCTTCTAGTTCAAAATTCATATTTATTTTCACTTCTATTCAATTCGATATTCTTAGCCTTCTGTTGTTGTTTTCAACTTCTGATTGGCATAATATACTACTTATGTCGATAGACATAAGTAGCATACACTACAATACTATCAAAATAATATAGACAAGTGCAAAGGGAACCTTGGTAAAAATAATTATCTCATCATAAGCAAAAATGGATAGTGACTAGCAGTGAAATCCAAGACGGGTATTTCATCCTATTTGGGACTCATCATTTGGATAAGCCTGCATCTCAGAGTTAATGTTCACCCTGAGAGTCAAATCCAGTACCATTCGCTTCAAACAACATAGCGTTATCCATTTAGCTATTGAGTCCTCTGAGATACAGATATATTCAACTGACAAGTCCCAAATAAGACGAAACACGTATCCTGAATTCCATTGCTAGCCAACTCAATAATGGACTGATCAATTGCAGTCTTTAGCATTAATGCTAAAAGATTCAAGTAAACAACACCATGTGAATTATCTCATTGTTATAAAGTTTGAAATTATACACTAAACTAGTTAACTTTTGTAAATAACCAAAGTTGGTCAAATATTTTGTGTGTTTGGTTTTGTTGTTTTTGAAAATATTAAACTCTACTGATTTAGTCTTGTTGATATTAATCAATAATTTTTCACTTTTTTTTTACTAATACCCTAAGTAATTAGAAACAAGTGCTCTATAACTTGAAACAATAATGACTATAAACTAAATAAGAAATTCAACAGATAAATTAATCAGTTGAAAGAAAAGCCCAAAGAAATCACATTTGATTAGAGCGTCAAATTTAAAAACATGACTTTCATTATTTAACATTTTTTTTGATGGAGTTTTGTTCTCTGAGCTAGATGGTTTAGTCGTAACCATTAGGCTCAACGGACAAAACTCCATAAAGAATATCCACCTGATCTACAAATCTTCTCCACCATCTCAACATTTTTTAGAATTTAGGATCATACATTGATCAATCGTTTAATATTAATGTCATTTTTATTCAGTTCTTAGGTCTAACCATAATCTATCAATCAATTTATAATCCAATTTCTAATTTAAGTAACGTAAAGTTATAGTATATCATGTTTTCTATCAAGAATTTAACGAAAATTGACTAGCATTGAACGTGGATAATAGAGTAATGATAATACCTTCAACTATAACAGCGGATAATCCAGAACTCTATAGTTCTGGATTCTTGTTGGTGACGTCTGTGATAGTCATGTATTCTTTTTCTAGCTCCATGAAAATCTTGTATTTTTTATTATTCCATAGACAGACAACGTAAGTTTTGAAGAACAAGTTCAATAACCTATACTATAAAATGTTATGATTTAAGACAGTATGACTTATATTACTATAGGATGTTAGTTGTTTCATCTACTAAAGATGTGATTATAAAATTAATTCTTTAGGATAATGATAATAAAGTTTGTTAAATACTTTACGAAAAGATCAATATCATAATAAACCGTTTATGAAGTGTTTTTACCAATAATAAATGAATAGTTATGACCTACTATTGTGTTTATCAAATCGTTTCATCATTTAGATGATGTATGTAATTTTAATATTTTTTTTTCAATGATTAACTAATTTTAGCCTCCTCAAGATGTTGATGAGTACATGCAACGTTCAAGAGCAATGGTAAAAGGTCCAGTTGGTGAAAATGTAACCATGTATCAAGATATCCGGGTAACAATGGTGAGTCGTAGTATATGTACTTACTTACTTCTGTAACTCCTAATGGAGCATATGATTACCGACTAAAATTCTCCTACCCACTCTGTCCTGGGCCTTCCTTTCTAGTTCTATCCATTTGTTGTTCATTCTTCTCATGTCTGTCTCCATTTCTCGACATAATGTGTTCTTTGGTTTTCCACTTCTCTTTTGGTCTTGAAAATTCCATGTGAGGGCTTGCTTTTTGATGCAGTTGTGTGCCTTCCTCAATGTGTATCCTATCCACTTACAGTGCTTCTTCGTGATTTCTTCTTCCGCTGGAATCTGGTCTGTTCACTCTCACAGTAGGTTGTTGCTGATAGTGTCTGGCTAACGGATCCGAAGTATTTTGTGTAGACAACTGTTTATAAACACTTGTATCTTGGTCATATCGAATAATGTGTTTAATTGAAAATTCTGTAAGTGAATAAATTTGTCTTGAAGTCAATAATTTTAAGATGAACAACACTCTTCTACACTTATCTATTCAAGAAAGAAAAACGCTCTTAGGAAGTAGCAAGTAGATAATTCAACAAATCAGTTATATTACTTTTTAATAGTTGAGATCATGAGCCAATTGAAGCTTGACTATCAAGGAAAACCCGGAAACACTGCACGGCCGTTTTGCTTATTGTATGACTCCTCATCGGTGTGCATCCACAATATTATTAATTGTAGCAATTCCATCTTGTAATACTGTTCATTCAGTAAGCTATTGTTTGATCAATAACAAGTTCTACTCAACTGAATTTATTTAACTTACACTGATGGTTAGTCAATTGTAAATTGATGATATAAAAATCAGTGTATTCAGATATATTGATTAATTTTCGACGTACTACAAATCCTCATGCATTCTCTTTACCTATTTCTTGCATTGATTCATATTAGTTTTGTTCAGATTTACTAATGTTTAATGGTAACTTGATTTGTTTTGCCATCAATCTTTGCTTATTCTACAACCTGTAGAAGAAGTATTTTGAAGACGAAATTCTTTAGAGTTTATATTTCCTAACTAACTAACAGTTAAAATGCTAAAATTTTTAACTTTATACATCTTTTTAAATACATATAGTAACAGTAAAGTTATTAGTCTGATAGACTGTTGAAATAGTTCGGTTACTTGACAACTGCTATAATATCGTATTAAATTACATTTTAATTTTAGATTACATGTGCTAAAGTTGACCAGAAGTAGGTATATTAAAAGTATGTAGCTTTAATCATTGAAATTTCTCTACAGTTGTTAGTTATTTACTAATTTAAAGGTGTAACAAACGTTTACTATATTAAATGAGTTTTTCCATATGCATAACAATTTCGTTTAACCATTTGTTTTAAAAAGATTATTTAATTGTTTATTTAATTTGGTTTTACAGGGTTATGGCCTCTTTAATACAATGAAATACTTGTACTTGAAAGACAAAGTACAATGAAATACTGATTTTTTTCAAGCATTTAGTCGGAACAGTGGTCTTGAGTCCTGTTAGAGGTATGAGGGCGGTTATCACTTCCCATTTGCCCACACCGTGGAAGGGTCCTTCTGGAGGTATCTGAAAAGGAAATTGGATTAGAGGTGGTCTTAGTGACATGAGGGCGTGATCGCCGTGCCCAAGTGACAACTACTTGAGGTCGGTCACACATGACCCTTTTATGAGTAATTTTTGTGTTAGCTCCGTACTTCTTGAGACCTTACAGCCGGAGACGGATATCCGTAGGATAAGGCGAGGTGTGTATTTTCAGGGTCGATCTTTTCTAGCCCCACCCCTTCTTATGGGAAGGCAGCATCGCTGTCATGCTGGTTGTCTGAAGGAAACACCTTACTGCTGTCACACCTCTGTACAGTCAGTAGTACAACTTCGCCTTCGGACCTTAGGTTTGTTGCTTTTGGTCTTACTGCTCTTCAACCGACCTGTCTGACATGGTAGGACCTTGAGGAACGGTTGTTCTAGTCAGTGTAGCTCGGTTGCTTCATCACGATAGGCAAGCCTGACCACCACGTCAAGGTAGCAACAACGGTCGGGATTTAGTCAAAACAAGTATTCTTTACCTGAGATTATTTATTAGATCTGAAAATTTGCTTCTTAGCTTTCATTTTGCATCTCATAAGCTCAAATAATAAAACTATTTTTTATCTCATTAGGGACCACCTGGTGAGCCAGGTGCACCCGGATTCCCAGGAGTCATAGGCACACCTGGACCGATCGGACAACCTGGGCTGATGGGAGATCCCGGTCCATCGGGAAATCCTGGATCGAGAGGACATGCTGGGCCTGTTGGAAATGATGGAAAAGCTGGACCGATAGGAAGACCTGGGTTAAAAGGTGCTCGAGGACCACGTGGCATTCCTGGAGTCATGGGAGAAGCTGGGCTTCCTGGAGCAATGGGTCTACGAGGTGAACGAGGAGAACGTGGAGAAGAAGGTATCAAAGGAATGGCTGGTGATTATGGGCCAAAAGGACTACCAGGACCTGTAGGACCAAAAGGTTCGATCGGTCTTCAGGGTCAACGAGGTGAACCGGGCCCTAGAGGATTCATGGGACTGCCAGGACCTATAGTATGTCTCTGTTTTTATCAGTTAATACTTTTATGATTATGAAGTTTATATCTTTATCGTTTATAACAATTCTAGTGGTGTATTTATGTTGGTATGAGATCAGACTTTCAGTGAACAGTTTTGGAAGACAGTAAATTTTCTCTTGTATACCATGAGCAACTAGTCTAAGTTTTGTATTCACAAAATATTTCAAGCAGTGACTAACTTATGTATATTTTAAACCATTTTCAAACTTCATTTATTTAGTTCAGTATGGTGTTCCCCACTAAAAGATTAATTCATTAAATAAGTGCTTCATATCATGCAATTAGATCGATTCTTTTCACGCACAGTGTGACTGTAATGAAAGACGACTCTCTGGGGAAAACCAATTTATGTCTGATGGAAAAATCACACAGTGGCTTAGTAAAACATGAAATCGTACATTAAATAAATCATTTGTGCATCTTCTTTAGGTTGTCCTTTTCATACTCCATTATCCCCTTAATTGTATCGTTATTTCGTTTGCTCTCCGATTTCCTTCCTGTTCTCTTCATTTCAATCTTCTGCTGCCAGACATTTCACTTCTGATTTTCACTGTGTACTACTTATATCTGTCAGTATAAGTAGCATCTACCATACGACCACCGACTAATGCTATTTGAAATTATTGATTACAACAGATTCAAGGGGGAATAGGTCTTAAAACTGGAATATTATTGAAGGAAAAAAGACATGTTATAAGTGTTTTGTGAATTTTCAGTGAAACCAAGAAGTTATTTATAAATAAAATAATGTAAAATAATATGAATAGAAATTGGATATGGGATATAAAAACATCTGAAAACCCACAAAGCTAGAAGTCACTAGACATATAAAGAGTTATGATAAGTTAAAATCAGGCTTGAATTATGACTACAGAAATAAAAGGGCAGTACCTAGGTGCTCATGTAAATGTCAAAATTTTATGTTGCAAACCACGGATGACTTAAATAGTTTGATATACTTATATATAAGGGATTTTAAGTTTATAGTTAACAAGTAATTTCTTATATTTGTTACCACATATTACCATCTTTTGATTGTTGCTTATTTTTAACTTTAGGGAGTTGATGGGACAGATGGTGTTCCGGGAGCACCAGGTGATCCTGGAGCACCTGGCCCCCAAGGAAGTCCTGGATTGCAAGGCCCAGAGGGACCTAAAGGTCAACCTGGTCTTCCTGGCCCTAAAGGAGAGGTCGGTTTCCCTGGATTACGTGGAGATAGAGGAGCGCCAGGACCACCTGGAAATCCTGGAAAACAGGGTGCACATGGACCTCCAGGAGCAATCGGTAATAAAGGAGAGCCGGGAGATCGAGGACACCCCGGAAAACCTGGAATGATGGGAATCAGAGGATTTTCTGGTGGAGAAGGAGAAATAGGTCTTGTGGGTGCGAAAGGACCAGAAGGCTCGGTGGGGTTGCAAGGTGCGCAAGGTTTGCCAGGACCAGAAGGTATCAAAGGTCGTCGCGGTGAGCGTGGCCCACCGGGACCAGTAGGTGAACAAGGTAGTAGAGGTATACGTGGCTCCGCTGGGCTATCAGGAGCCCCTGGACACGAAGGCAGTCGTGGTCTTCCAGGACTTCGTGGTCCTCCGGGTCCTGAGGGCCCACCGGGTGCTATTGGTCCAGGTGGAGCACCTGGTATAACTGGTCCCGTCGGTGAGAAGGGAGCTCAAGGAGACATTGGCCCAAGTGGTCTCAAAGGTCCTACCGGTCCTAGAGTAAGTTACCGATACTCCACTTTTCAATATTCGGTTAAAGTAAATCTCTATTACATTAGAAATAAGAGAATTTTATGAATATCGAAAAGTCTAGATGTTATTTGAACAAGTAGCTACAGTAGCAGTGTCCTTTTTTCAATATTTTTCATTGAATCAAAAATAATCTTCAGTAATTTGATTAATTGTGTACTAGAACACAAAATGGGTTAATAATTACAAATTCATAGGACTAAGGTAGAAAGTAATCACAATACGACACTATTGAACTACTTCAAATAATTAATCATTTATGCATCATTGTTGATATATCTGTAGTGTGAAGAAGTTTCACTTTGATTATTGCATAATCTTCTGTATTTTAATGAAAATTCAAGAAAATGCTTAAGGTTTAACCATTTTATGACAAGTGTCATCATTAGAAAATATTCTCAAGAGTTAATCTGATAGTCGAAAAAATAGTTTCACAATTAAAATATATGATTAGTATAAGATCGTGGAGATTATAAAGTTTTGGATTGAGATCATGAACCGATTGATGTTAAACCACCATTAAAACCCGGGAGCGAGATCGTGGGTGCATGCTACTGAGAAGTCCTACAATAGGACGAAACGGCCGTCCAGTGCTACTAGGTTTTCAATAGTAGTCTACCATCAATCGGTTCATGATTTCAATTAAAATATATGAAATAGTCCTATAAATCATACTTTAAAAATAACTCACATATCTCAAGTTTTAGTATATTTAATGTGATGTAACAATGTGTCGAAGTAATCTTTTTAAGATATGCGTATAAATTTCAGTCCACAATATCGATATTTGGAAATTACAAATCCTTACTGATACCTTTATATCTACATCGCTGCATCTCTGTGCTAATGTGGTATGGCAACTCGAAGTGATGTACGTACGTACGAAGTTCTACATTGTTACTGACTGACCTTTATGTCCGTTGAGCAAGTTATTGGCTATTTGAATCCAGTACTTTAGTGGATAAAGCGCTAAATTTGAATTGAAAAGTTCTGAGTTTGGCCCTCAGTTTGAACATCAACATTGGTGCTAGCACATCCGGATGGCAAGCATACCAAATGTAGAAGATTTAATAATCGTCACTCACTCGATGATACTCCAATATTTAACGTTGATTTTGATCATGGATTAATACAATGTGGAGAGCAATCAAAAACTAGAGAGTGTTGTACAGCTGTGGAGTCTGAATATAAAACCTTTCAACATCTTTTAAGTCATATGGAACTGAACATTGAACTTTCAGGTTTCGTAGTACAAACCATGTCTTTAAAGTATCGATTAAAAACTGAATGGTCCAAATTTCCTTAATTCAGTCAATTAATGTTTGAAGGAAGTTTAATATTTGAACTAAAAACCAACACATTAGGTTGTATCATATTTAAGTAATGAATCTAGGAATCATAACGAAATGCTAATAATGGCTGCATTAATATAAAATACCACAAAAAAGCTATAACTTAATACAAGTTTATATATTATCTAAAAGTATACTATTCAATTGTTTAACACATGTTAATGTAATATTCATTTCATTCAGGGTTCAGTTGGAAATCGTGGACAACCAGGACCAACTGGTGAACCTGGTCCTAAGGTAAGTTTTCGAGTTAAAAAAAATATTATGTTTCTTGTTTTTAATAAAAGAAAATAAATTAATTCAATAACCAGTAAGCGTATTTGTAAACTAGTTAGTACTACAACACTGTACAAAATCTTTGTTTTCATTGGGAATATTATATAGTTAAATATAATGATGAAGGATAATGTGTAATATTATCCAATTAAAGGAGGTCAATAAACAAAATACGAAATTGTAGTGATTATATGAAGTTCAAAAGATTAAGCTTTCTAAACTTATTCAATATAACAATTGTAGATATAGAAGCAAAGTATAATCACCTAAGTAACTGATTTCGTCATTAAATAAGAATTATATACAATTTTCTTTGTGATGACTGGATTTCATCAAACTGTACAGTCGTATTTATAGTGACTAAATCTATTGAAAAATATTAAGGCCTTGTGTTCGAATTCCTCGAGCGGGATTGTGAATGCACACTGCTAAAGAGTCCTACAGTAGGACGAAACGGCCATCTAGTGCTTCCAGGTCTTCAATGGTGATCTAACATCAATTGATTTATGATCACGATAAAATTTTCGTCCGACTGTCACTATTCTCGAAATTTACTTTTGTACTAGCTAACATAGCTCATTGGGGTAGACTGTAGCTAAATATATGTAGCACATTTCTCAAACACCTCGGTGGGGAAAGGTTTAATACCTTATCAAATGACTTACTATTGCCTTCTAGTATGATATGACTGACCGCAACTTTACTCAACTGAGGGTTCTAGAGCATACATCATTACTTAGAAAGGGCTTATGATCAGATACTATCAACCAACTCATGTCTCTAACCTCAAAATATCACATCTCCTAGCTATGAAGATAGGTAGACCAAACTGATGTTCTGTTCTTTATCATCGAAACGGAGACCTCACCCAAGACACTGGTTAATCAAGGTATTAAGATTCAAGTGACTGCTCTGTACAGATACTGGTAGAAATCCTCTAACGCTGACGAGGCTCAAAACGAATGAAGTGATTTGCACGCTCAACTATGTTACTTTAGATTATGGAACTAAGCATTAAAGAAAAATCTGTCGGGATTAAAATTCAAAGTAATGATAATAGTATCGGTTAAACATTTCAACATTCGAATCTTTAATGTCCTCCGAAAACGATGTGAGCCAATTAATCCTCTTTTCCCAATTCAATATATTTTTGCTACATGAGATTATTTTTCTGACCTCATATTTTTTATTTCTTCATTATCCCACTAGGGTCCACTTGGATCTATTGGTCGACCTGGCATGCCTGGTGCAGCAGGAATTCCTGGTCCGCACGGCCCTCAAGGAGGACAAGGGTTACGTGGTCTACCTGGTTCAGTCGGGAAGACCGGTGACCCTGGAGCAGTTGGATCAAGAGGTCCTAGGGGTGACAGAGGTCCACGAGGGGAACCCGGGCCTCCGGGTCCATTTGGACCGTCAGGTGAGAAAGGACAACGTGGACAATCTGGCAAACGTGGTCCCATGGGAGCAGAAGGTAGAGTTGGCCCCGAAGGTCCACCAGGGACACCTGGGAAACCAGGTGATCCTGGGCCTGCTGGAGAACCTGGGCATATTGGTCCACCAGGACCTCCAGTAAGTGAAATCTTTTTGTTTTCCGTAATGATGAAGTTATTTGTATATACTACTCACAGTTTGGTATCAAATACAGTTAAGTAGAAATATCTAATGGCTATCTTGATCAATGGTTACATTTTGAGTTAGATATTGAGAAATTATACACTCACCATGTCTGTTTTTTTTTTTGAGATCTGGAAAAAAATCAAGTAAATGTTTATTGACAAAAAAATTCGTCTATGTGAGTGTGAATACTTTGTTTGCACACTGTATAATATTATTACAATTAGTTTTGTTACCATTTGTTAGGGAATGTGATTTTAACTAAAATCCTAACTGTTAAAATACTCTAATATGTAACAATAGTTTATTTTAATATTGAAAAAATTCATTACACAGATTTTAGTTTAGATTTTCATGAAACCATAATTGTTGCATTGAAATGTACAGTGAAACATATATGTTATCAAGTAAATCTATTAACAGTTCTGTTTACACAACCAATCGACTGTGAATACATCTCAGTTCTACATAAGGTCAATCATGACCTGATTAGCTCAATGGTAGCGTATTTGACCGTGAAGCAAAGAGATATGAGGTTGATTCTACTAAGGAGCATCATTTCACCTAAGATTACTCTTAAACCTTGCTAACAAGTGACAGATAGCACGAAATCTAAGTCTAAGTTTTCCTGTTGACTGCTTTCAACTGCCGTCTTACATTTTAATATAGTACATGGATTGTATACTCAATAGCAATGACATAATAATCAGTGTCATTCTTTTTAAACCTTTACGCAGACAATACTTTATCACAAAAACTTGAAATAAGAAATATCCATTATCTTAAATGTTTTGGAGTTAGATGGTACTATTCTTAATGTTACGTGATTGAAGAAATTATCACACAACCATAAACCTTGGTTAGTTATTCACTTCGACTAGTTAATAAAAGAAATCTGCATACTAAATCAAATTCTAGCACAAATAATTAGAGTAAACAACGCTTATCAGTTAGTCATTAACAACGTAGAACTTCGTACGTACGTACATCAGTTTGAGTTGCCACACCACATTAGCACAGAGATGCAGTGGTCGATTCAAATCCCGTAGTGGTAGAGGTAATAAGAGTATAAGCAGTAATCGGGAAAGTTTCCTTTAATCTCTTCTAATTTATAATTCTTCACAGAATAAAAATACGAAAGCCGGATTTGAATTAGTACAAATTATTATAGCAGCCATCTCTTGAGAAAAATCTATGAGTAGTCAATACAAGGCTTATTCATTTGCATTTTGTCAAAGAACTAAGCACGATTACTTACAAGTGTCAATGTATGTTTGATAATAATATTCGTTAACATGGCAAGAGATATGAAATGTCAAAGGTTACCGGAACTAATAATATCAAAACTATTAGTACTTATGTAATAATTTCATGAGCTCACTTTTCTTTTGAATTGTCACTGTCTCCAATAATCAGTTAGGTAAGTGTTCTATTGATCTGAGCTATATACATGTAAAACCTTTGTAATGAAATAAACAGTTTCGTCCGCTGAGATTATAATTTATGGACGACTTTAAGCAACGCTAAAGTGACCCTGAAAATGTCCATCTGGTTACTAGGGCTAAATGAAGGCAATAAAGCAGTATGAAGAATAAAAATTTCGATTTACAATTGATGGTAAGGGTTGGGAATTAGAATTATGGTTTTCATCTCGAACTGATATAAACTAAAATGCCAAAACGCTATTTAGACAAATGGATGAATGAATTTCTCGCCAAAATCCGAGACCTGTTATCCCAAATCTCATTGGTTCGTGCATATATATAAAAGTCTCGCATTTCTTCTTATTTTTTAAGTTTCTAACAGCAGCAAAAAAAACAAGAAGATAGTTAGGAAAACTCAGAATTAGGCAGTAGCAACAGCTGGCTAAAAAGGATTGTTGCACGTCCTGTTTATTTATAAACTCATAAAACTGTTTTGTAGTGCGAAATGATTTTTTTGTAACTTTTAGGGAGAACGTGGAGCCCCAGGACAAATGGGCCCACCGGGCCCGCCTGGAAGGGCTGGAGACAAAGGAGCTTCGGGTCCAGTTGGACGTGACGGGCTCAAGGGCGACAGGGGTGAAAAAGGTGACATGGGAGACAGTGGGACGGTTGGTGTTCCCGGCCTTGTTGGTAATACTGGAATTCGTGGTGAGAGAGGTGAAAAGGGCGACAGAGGACCCACTGGGCCACGAGGAGAACCAGGCCCAGTAGGAGCTCCAGGACAGAGAGGGACCGACGGCCCTATGGGACACCCTGGACCGCAAGGAAGAACTGGAAACAAAGGGATATTAGGAATTCGTGGTTATCAGGGCGACAAAGGAACACCTGGGGATCAGGGACCACAAGGTATTCCGGGTGATCCAGGTATACCAGGGCCACCCGGCCCACCTGGGTCTGTCGGAATGAAAGGAGTTAAAGGGGAAATGGGTCCACGTGGACCTCGTGGTGAAGCTGGTAACATGGGAATAAAAGGGGTTCAAGGACCACCTGGGCCTAAAGGTCACCCTGGATTACCAGGTCAGCAGGGTGATAGAGGCCAACCAGGTGTACAAGGAGATCAGGGGTCGGAAGGTTTAATTGGAGAACCTGGACCCCAAGGACCACCAGGAGAAAATGGTCGACCAGGCCCTCCAGGACCTGCTGGACAAACTGGGCCTAAAGGTGAAGCTGGGGACCCAGGACTCGAAGGACCCGCGGGTTCAGACGGAATGACTGGACTTCCGGGTCCTGCAGGTGATAAAGGGGAACGAGGAGACCCTGGATTACCGGTAAGATTACATTACGATTTTGAGTGAACCCTAATTAGTTACTATATATATATATATATATATATATATATATATATATATATATATATATCAACTGGCATATTACATCACTTGTATGCCCCAGTTACACAGTATTTAAATGTATTATTTTCAAATTAGTTTTATCTTAGAACATTCTCATCTATTGTGAATTTTTCACTTCATAAGAATATATCTTTACTGGTTATTTTTCGGTGTTGTAATTATGTTGATTATACACACTATAAGTACTATCATTTTGTTGAAATGGCTAATCCAAACTAATTTTGGATATTACTTCTCTTTTACCATAGTAACGTTCTTTTTTCAGAAAACTAAAATACTAAAAGAGTAAATGTAGATTTAATCTTTACCACTCGGATAAGTGTGAATAACCGACACCTTAATTAAACATAATATTCCACTAACCAATGAAGTAAAATATCATAACGACGAAAACTGGCGCTTGTCATAAAAATAAACACATTGAATTCTGCATGATGCAAAGAAGAAGGTGAAAATATATGGATAATGAATATTTTAATTACCCCCTTCCCCTAAGAATATGACAACCAATTAACTACAATACACTGATTTGTATATCGAATGTGTTGAAATTTAATAGTTAGTCAAATAAATAAGATGAAATGTTAGAAATGAATTTTATGCAGAATTAATACAAAACTTATGCTGTATGTTGTAATGAACGAAATTCACACTAATTTGTCACTAAACGAACTATATATGAAAATCATACTGAAGTAGTTGAAATCATGAACAGATCGATGTTTGACCAATATTGAAAAATTGGAATCACTAGACAGCTATTTCGTCCCAGTACAAAACATTTTTTGTGGTCCAGTATCTGACTCTAGTTTGATCATATGAAGATGCTATGAATATAAATCTTCCATTTAATGCTGCATATTATCTAGGCTAACTCCAATTGTGTGATGGCAGTAATAAAGAGCAAATACGGGTTGCATTTTAGGGAATTATTTCATGCATTCGTTTATCATGACAGACATTCCGAATGAAAAGCGGCAAAACGAGGCGAAGAGCAGCAGAGAACGCGAGTAAGCCAACTCGATTTGACAAAACATGACTCAACATTTATAGTTAGGCAAAAATAAGCCGAATACATGTGATGAACAGGGTAAGCAATACAGAAACATGCGCTCATATAGAAAAGTCAAGGTTACTAAGTGAATAATTAACAAGTTCAAAATCCGATTCAAGAAGAATGAATAAACTGGTCCGTCCGGAAGCTAGAATAACCTATGTGGGTTTGACGCATTACTAGACACTACACTCCTCAGAAGTGCACGCGCACTACATTGCAAGTGGGAATCGAATCCCGGGCCTACGATCTTGCGCCCGAACGCTAAGCTTCTAGACTACTGGGCTTGAATCCAGTGTTCTTAGTATCTAACTTCAATTGCGCGCAAAACTGAAGATCCTGTGTTCGATTCCCACACGTAGGGTCGTGTACCAGGGAGAAATGATCGTCCAGTGCTTCCAGGTGCTTAGTTGTAATCTAACATTGATCTGTTCATGATTTATCAAGTAAAGTTATGCATAGATGGTGTGTAAGAGGTAGTTCTGCTATCCGGGAGCCAACATCGAAGTAGATTGAAAAGAGTTAGGCTTCAGGTTATTTAGGTTTACACTACAGACAACAATTTCAACGAATACTGTATTTTTTATTTTATTAATTAATCTCATCATTTTTCATAAACTGAACAACTAGCAGTAATTATTGTTTACTCTGAATTATCGGTATAGAGTTGTGTAGATTTTAGTTTTTTATTGAAATCATGAATCGATCACTGTTAGACCATCATTGAAAACACAGAAACAATGGACGGCCATTTCGTCCTGGTATAGATGTGCACTGCTGAGGAGTCTCATACTGGGATGAAACGGCTGTCCGGTGATTCCAGATCTTCAACAGCGCTTTTGTATGATCTCAATAGAACTCTGGATCAATTAAATCATTTTTTCTAATCGATTCATTATGTATATGAATTGTATTGATGAATATAAAAATGAAACGGATTATCTTACATCTACATGGATTAACTAGATCTGTCAATTAAGCTCAGCTACTATGTTGCCAGTGAATACATAATAATTCTTCTAAATATTTTAAGACCCATTTTAATGAATGGTATTTAAATACTCTCTTATTTTATTAATCCACTAAAAGAACGAAATTATTTTTCAAAAAATTATTTTATCTATTTCTGTAGACTTTTATTGCATAATCTAATATAATTAAACAATTTAAAAAGTAAATATTAGAATATTATTTTTATCTCGATAACCTATTTTCCCATAGGGCACAGTAGGTCCAATTGGACCAGATGGTGATCAAGGACCAAGTGGTGCACCGGGAAAAATTGGACCAACGGGACCACCTGGTAATGTGGGGAAACCTGGCGAAATGGTAATATATGCATTGTTTTATTCTTTTAATCTGGTCAAATAAAATTGATTTAATATTTTAGTAGTAATTTTTATTTATATAAAATAAAAACGTTGTGATTGATTAAAAATTATTGTGAAAGTATGTATCTTTGATATTCTGATAGCTTTGATTGATATTTCCAGGGTCCTCCAGGAAATGCTGGTTTACCTGGAAGAACAGGTTTACCTGGTCCTCCTGGAAAAGACGGTCAGATGGGAAAACAAGGTCCTCGTGGTGAAGAGGGACCTCGAGGACCAGATGGGAATGCAGGAATGCAGGGCCCACCCGGGGCTTCAGGTGTTAAGGGTCCTCCAGGAAGCAGAGGACCAACTGGTCCAACTGGAATCAGAGGACCTCCTGGACTAATTGGACAGCCTGGGCCACCAGGTAAACAAGGAAGTCAAGGAAGACCTGGAAAACCAGGTCCAGATGGATTTGAAGGGAAACGAGGTCCTCCGGGTGAAATAGGAGCACCTGGAGTTCCTGGAAGCAAAGGACCAGTAGGAGACGAAGGGGAACCTGGCTCAAGAGGTGCATCCGGAAACATGGGCCTTACTGGACCACCTGGTGATGGTGGGCCTCCTGGATTGCCAGGAAGTCCAGGTTCACGAGGACCACAAGGACCAATGGTAAGTTATTGTACGACATTTAAAAATTGTGGTCACATTCTTCTTATTTACTTGTTTACTAAAAAAATAAATGTATTTTAGCCTCTCTTTTTAAATTTCGTTGATTGGATACGACGCGATAGTCAAATAACTGATTACATAAAACCAATTTATTCTGAGTTGGAAATTTCTTTGACAAAGCTGTCTCCTGAATATTCGAATGAAAATTTCCGCAAATTTACATTAAAGATCAGATCAGTTTCCCCGATGACTGAATAACTCGAAGGAATTATCATATTTGAAAAGAGGTTTTAGAAGATCACTTCCAAATTACAGATGTAATTCTTCAGTAGATCAACTTCAAGACCTGTTATTTAACCAGATTTCAACATTTGGCTGTCCAAATAACGTGGAACTTGAATACTTTACTATTCCGAGTATCTGAAATAAATTTGAAACTTAACCAACAATTTAATCTATCAAAATACACAGTACTATCAAGTTGAACGACTTTGATAGTATAAATTCTATTACGAAACATGCTTTCATTGAACTTCAGCTATCATTATTGTATCAGTAACGAAATGATAATCCAAACGCTAATTTTGATACGTTTATTGTAAATTGGCGAAATCTAATTTTATTTAAATAGATTTATGAAAGTTTAGTGATTTTTATGGGTATTTCTCATAGCACTAGATAATTATAAAAACTAATAAGCTTTAAACAGATTGATAGAATTCGATCACCACTAAGGTCTAGACGAGCATATCATTGATACTACTCACTAACTATTTCTTCGTATATCAGAACTGTTCCAATAGTGAGCATCTACAATTGTATATATGACGACAGTTAACGCTTTAGAGTCTGTTTAGAGCATGATGCTTTTGAGCCGTCAAGTTTAAATCCAATGATTCGAATTTTTTGTCATTCTTTTAATTATATAACACAATCATTTACTATTATTATTTGTAATTTACTATTTCACTCATTAATCCATTACTTATGGCTACTCCTTACAACGTTTAATCAGAGGGTAGCTCCTCGTGATAATTAATGATTTACGGCTTACTCCTATGTAATTTACAAGATGTTATCTGACAGATTAATGAATGTAGGTTATCTCCCAGTGAACTATATAGAACAGCAGTATTCATCAAACTGAAATCAAACATTATTGATCTATTACAATATTATTTTTAGAACTAAATAAGAGAATAATCTGGGTATAGTTGTACCACACATCCATATTTTTAGATATTTCAAGTATGTTTTTTCTCATTAATACTTAACTTAATCAAAACTACTACTCAATAGTAGAAAACCTAACTTTATGCACTTAAAATATCACGTTTGTAAAAATTGCGATTGAAGAGCTCAGCAGGCAAACAATGTTCTTTTTTTACCAAATCTTCAATCAAAAATTGTCAAATCACCTACGTTTTCTATGTGTTTAACTGTGTACTTAATCATGATATATTAAATCATGTCATTCCTTAAATGACTTCCCAGTGTCCCTGATGACTATATACTTGATTTTCTAGTCAATCATATTGTTATATATACTGATGAATAACTTTTGATGTTACTTACCTAGGGTGAAGTTGGCCTAAAAGGTGAAACGGGTCTTCCAGGAGTTCCAGGACCAATTGGGCAACCAGGACCAATGGTAAGTGATAACAGTTGAGTGACTAATATATTTATTATATAAAAGTAAACAACTTGTTCAATGAAATATGTAACTACTATGTTAGTCATCTAAGACAATCTGTTTAATTCTTAGTATAAGAGATCGACATTGACTGAAATGTAATTACCTGATGATTACAACTTTTCAAATACACTCACAAGGTTGTATAACCTTAGAAAGTAAATCAATTGTGTGAATGGTAATCCTCACACAATTTGCTGTAACGATATTCAACTTGTCATTGGAGGATGAAATGTTTAACGTTACTTTTAGGCTATTGGAAGTTGCGAAAGTATGTATGATATTTTGTTTTTGTATTTTTTCACCGTTATTTATTTGGGTATATTTAAGTCGTTTAGTTTTATTGTAACGTTATTGAAATTTTCACAGGGACCACCAGGTATTCAAGGTCCACCGGGTGAACCAGGACCTCCAGGAAACGATGGTCCACCGGGAGCCATTGTAAGTGAATTTTATTCTTGTATACAATATAATTTTTAAGATTTTGGAGTGAAATTCTGTTCGAAATCAGCGGTTATCTAAAATATTTTACGATAGAAAATGAACTGTTTGTTCTTACGAGTATTTGTTAAGCACTGGCGCCAGAGTTATTTAAACTAATTTGATTAATCAGATAACTTAACTTTTGTTAGGTCCCGATAAATATAATGAATGTTACCTTTGGGATCCTTTTATGAACCGATACTAAACGTATATTTTTGTCTTATTATTTTTAATTAACTAATCTATTCATATTCATGTCTCTCTTATCATGAGCTTTATTTTACCCTATGAACTGTTATTATACGACTTTCCATTCTTGAATTATTCCTTGTCTATTAATCACTACCTCCCACATTCACAGCCACATTTGGCCAAATCTTTTACAAATGTTATTTTCTATTTTATGGTACGATGTGCTCTGTTTGATTGGTATATAAACAGAGTATGTTTGAAATACACGATTCATATTGCAGAAGCTGAGATTGACGTTTTGGCTTTAACTGGCTGGGCTAGGCGGAAAGCAGGACTAATCAAGACTCTAGGCTGTTCATATGGATTTTACGCGTCTTTGGTGCGATCGATAAGTCATTGTTCTCTAATCGGCGGTCGCAAGATATAAACAACTTCAAACGTTAAAATAAAACTGAGCTTAATTAAGCGCTTGTTGAACACCAATAATAAAATCAAACCATCTCACTTGTTTAGTAGTAAAATTTTCTTCCTCCTAATCTGTTGTCATACAAGTCTGTCTCCCATGTAGACAAACAGTGAGTTATTTCTTAACGACATGTTTATATAAATGTATAACATCGGATACCAACTCAGTAGTTCAATAGCTATAATCTTACTGCGAGACCTGAGGATCGTACGTTTATCCTCCCTAAAATTTGTAGGTATGGATTATTGATGTACTTCACAATAGAAATAAACATCTGTTCAGTACTTCTTGAGCCTTAATGGTAACTTAACGAATGTCAAACCATGATAAATATCACTTCCAAATTCAATTAACTTCTATAAAAGTCGATCATAAAGGTAATAATGTAGCCTAAATTTTTTTAAGTATCATTTAAAACCAATTTAAACGGTAATTGAACTGGTTACCTGATTTATTCATCTATGAATTTCTTTTATATTGATTCTTGAATAGGGTTTGCCTGGACCACCGGGAGAGTTTAAAACTGACTATACATCATTGTTTAGTCGTAGAAGAGATTCAGATGTTGGAATGATGGTAAGGTTGAAAAGTTAATTGATAATATATTTAACAGATATTTACTGAATACAATAAAAATGCATGCATATAGCGTTTTTGCTTGTAGGTTAGTTTACAGACGTTTTGTATGTTTTTTTCAATGTGTGAATCATAGTACAGTTTTGTTTAAGTTTAAACAGTTTTGTGAGGTGGTTTTGGAAATAGATTCATTTATGAAGTACTGACACCTACTAGAAATCCATTACAGGCCAGAGAAAACTGAATAGCTATTTTTTTTCCAGATTTTAGACTGTTTAACAAGATATCCTCGTAGCTTGACATGGAATCAAAATTAGGATTTTCAAATCTTGATTCTTGGTAGCTTAGTAAAAATGCATGGCTGTTAAAAATCAGCTAGATTATTAGTGAAACAAATATCATCAAAATCTATCATTCGGTATATCTAATAAAGTCTCTGAATTCCACCTTAGTTATAAAAATCGTCGACTTTGGGTCAGCATGAAATCATGTTCAAGTAAAAATGGTGAATTCTAAAGCCATTCAATACTTCCTGGTTTCAAACAAATCTTCAGTTGATGTCAATACATAGATAAATTGTTATTTAGATTTGAGTATGCTGTGAAATTATGGACTCGTGTTGCATCCGATTTAAAACTCAGATGTATCTACTTCCAACACATTGAGACATGATCATCTCAGTGTAACCTAAAACATATTAGTTATTGCTTCAAACTCGTAACTCTCAATCAAGGAAACGATTCATTCATGTTTTGTTATTTGGAGCCGACAAGCAAATTACTAAGGTATTCATGTATACAAAACAAAATGAAATGAAAATTTAGTTCAATTAATTGTCTCCATCAAGTCAACAAGTATAAACGGAAAATCTTTGGACTTAATTACATTTCAAACCGGTTTCATAAACGATTGAACTCATTCTAAATAAATCCAGAGTTTAAGCAAACCTTACAGATAACTATTGTCGTTAGAATCATATTCAATTTCGAAGTATTCTATCATCAGTCTGTCTATTATAAGGCTTTTTGTTGATAAAATTGTCATTAAAATTAATTAAAAGGAACAAACGAAGTTGATGCAAGATCATTAGAGAAATGATAAGAACAGAAACAAGGAAGGAAAATTTTAAAAGAAGTGAAAAAAATGTAAATGAAAATAAAACCATGAAAATGAAAGGGATTGTACATACCGTTTCAGTATATACGGATCTGCTTCTTTGATTGCGTATAGCTACAGTATCTACAATCCAAAGGAGATAAAAATACATACTTTTCTGTTGATTAAGTTTGATCCTATATATGGTATAGAATAGAAAGTTGAGTACTATATGGTCAACCATTTATAGTGAAATAAATGATTTTATAGTTGTTAATAGTATGCTGAATCATGTGAAGAAGTAGTTGTTAGCTTATCTGAAAACGTTCCACGTTGGACGATCTATATAGCTAACTTTATAAAAGCAGGTGAATAAGTGTGTGCATAATGAGATAATCTGTCAAAGTAGTTTGTCCTTCACTCAGGAACAAACCAGTAAGTATTTAGTGAAAATTATAATTAAAAAATTTAATATTCAGTTTTGCATTTTCTTATCTTTTTGATACTTTCTCTCTTGTTTCGTTGTTTATTATTGTACCTGTCTGAAATAAAAACAAACAAACAAAACATGAACTCATTTAGCAAGCTGATGAACCCCGTAATAGAGGAAGGAGAATACGCCGTTCATACGAATGGAGTGATGAAGATTATGACCCAAGCAAAGAAACTGATCCTAATGATGAGGTAAGCGGAAATGACGAATACAAATACTGTTAAGTATTGTATGGTGCATAATTGTAATCTTGTGCGATTATCATTCTGATAACTTTGAATATGTCTGTATAAGCCGATATTATCACAAGATTCATGGTTCAAGATTATTTATAATGATCAAAGCAAATACCTAGTTGACCAGATAGGTCATAGAAATTATTAGACATTTAAAGAAGGAATGTGATTCATTAGCGCATACTTGTAAACTTTATTGAGGTTTCTTCTACATACACGTGATGTATTTCACCAAGAAAATAATACTAAGTCTCATACTGCCTTGTTTTTTAGTTGTTCTGTTTTAAAAATCATACGATTCATGAAGTAAATAAATATGCCTTTCCAGTATTTTTAAAAGAGGTTGAGGGGTTTTTGTTAACCTACTAAATACACAAAGCAGATTAGCGAGAAAATGTGAACATTATGAGAAACTCATACTTGCTAAAAGATGCATACTACCACTCTTCAAAACTTTTAACAATGGAAAAAGCTCTATATAACCTAGCTCTTTACCCATGTTTAAATCTGCGATTGATACTTAAGTCTCTAACACAACATTTGATGTACTTTGCTAGCCAATAGACATAAGATTCTCTGCGGTAAACTATATCTTGGCTATTAAATAATCACGATCTAGTACAAAACAATTACATAATACCAGAAATTTTCAATGGTTTTTTCGACAACACTCATTAACAGTAGAGAATGTCTTCAAAGTTTGCCTCCTACCTTCACGATAATCTTAAATAGGATATTTTCATGATATTCAAATGCTATTTGGTCTTAATAAAGTCGATTACTTTCACATCTTCCATTATACAATTTTTATTTTTCTTTGTTTTAAACACCATTTTCCAACTAAAAATAAGGAGGAAGATATTTTTGAAGCATTACGTCAAGTTGGAAGACTTGTGAATAGTTTGAATAGTGGAAGTGGAACACAATTCAATCCTGCACGAACATGTCATGATTTAAAAAGAGATCATCCAGAGAAAAAAGACGGTTAGTCGATATTTATTTTTCGCCTATTTAAAAGAATTCACTACCAGTTCCTTTATAGTTCACGAAAACAAGTAGTGAAACTTCATCAGTTGAGATGGCTGGGACACGTGCTACGTATGCCCAACGACCGAGTGCCTCGACGTGTGATGTTTTACTGTGTAATAGTAGGTTGGAAGAAAGCTAGGGGAGGCCAGACCAAAATTTGGCACAAGTCCATGAAGTCACTGACAAGTGGTCTGAGTCATTTCGGTAGGTGTAGACTACCTGGTTGGGGACCGCGAGATGATAGCAACCGATGGTTAGAGACCCTGAATGACATGGCTCAAAATCGTTTGCAGTGGCGCAGGTGCATACACTCTTTGTGTTCTCCCAAATTTTGATCTCCTTATTCCTCTTTGTCTCTTTTTTTTCTCTTCCCAAATTTATTTCACTGTATTATACTCTTTAAGTAACATCAAACACTAATCTTCCCTATTACTGCTTATACTCTTACTACCTCTACCACTACGGGATTTGAGTTGACAACAGCATCTCTGTGCTAATGTGGTATGGCAACTCAAACTGATGTACGTACGTACGACGTTCTACGTTGTTACTGACTGACTGAAAACAATAATTTATTAGCAGTACTAACTGTTAGTCCGTTTTGCATTCGATATTGAACAAATGGTCTTTTTGAAAAAACACATAATTAAGCAAGTGTGCTTTTTGTTAAAGTTAATGGTGATGGAGTTTCTAATCTTATGCTAGTTACAATTGCCAACATAACTTCAGAAAAACTAACGACACGAGAATTTTTCGATTAAGTCTAATTTGTTGGTTAGATGAGGTTTCTTGTTGTTTGATTGACATCTTTTATTTCATTCTCGAATATGTATGACTGTCTCTTGTTTGACTGATGCCAAAAGTTACTCAACTTATGAGTTTAAAGCACAATGTCTACTACTTTCATGTTTATTAAAATTACATTACATACAATGACTAGTTTATCATTCAAAGCTCTCTTATTAGCAACTTTATCTTATAAGATAGGAATTTTTACTATTCATTTAATGGGCTACAAATATTTGGAATTATGCGTAAAATTAATTACCACTGAGTGATCTATTTCCCAGTGTTTGTGAGTGTCTTTTATTTCATGTTCATTTCGGTAACTGATTCGACTACTGATTGATTGGAGCAGAAAATACTTTTTGTATTCTTAAACAGCAATAAAAAGTCTGGAATTAGTCACCAGAAAAAGAAAATGACAAAATCAGTCATTATTTTAATCAGGTGTGTTAACCTGATGATTAATTCACCAGAAGACAATGCATACAGGTGATTTTTAAAGAATATGACGTAAAAAAGATATTTTAAAATCTATTAATTGGTATTAGTATAATGTAACACTTGGTACTAGGGTATGTCATGTTGCCTAGTCTTTATTTCTGATCGAATTCCATGGATTAAGTTTCAAGATGACCACTAGTCAGGGTAACCTGATGTAGAACACACCATATATTACCGTTAATAAACTGAGGTTCAGTGTTCCTGGTTGACTATGTCCAACCAAACAACAATTTAATCCAAATTTATTTGTAATCGAAATCTAAAACTTTATTATGATTAAACTGACAGTATTATTGAGTTTTTGATCAATCTAATTCTGTGCTAAATAATTTCCATCATAAGCTAACATCAGGTAGATAACCAGTAGAGATAAGGAAGTATTCAACAGCTACTTTATTCTAGTCTGGGACCGCTCAACAGTGTACACCTAAGATGTTTTATATGTTTAATCTAGAACCCATATATTTCTGGCCTAGCACAAAACTGAGTCATTTTGATGAAGTTTTGTTCTCTACGCTGGATGGTTTAGTCATGGAGCTTTCATCGTTCTTCTGAACGACATAATCAGCACAAACTTCACGTGGAATTGAAGTGTTCGGATTTATCCACATGTGGTTCACAGCTTGTCCTGTAGACCTCGATGTTGATTAGTTTTTGTTGACCTTAAACCTGTCATTGTTTACTTCTTTGTTTTGGTAGTATCTGCCATTGGTTAGATTTTTGTTCCTATGTTTGTGCATAATTTTCCTGGTTGGTCTACAGGACAAGCTGTGAACCACATGTGGATAAATTCGAACACTCCATTTCTACCTAAAGTTTATACTGATGATGTCTTTCAGAAGAACGATGAAAGCTCCACGACCAAACCATCCAGCTCAAAGAACAAAACTCCACCAAAATCATCCACCTGAACTATAAATCTTCTCCACCATCTCAAAATCAGCTGAGCTATTTGTTCAAAACTTCTAAATTCAGATATTTTAAAAAAATTCACACGATAGACACTTTAAGGTGATACGAAGTGTTGAACTATTCTTTCCAATGAATAACTAAAATTTACATATGAATGATTGTTGGTTTAATTCATTATTTTGGTGAATTTCTCAAGCTAAACAAGCCAAGTTTGAGTCTCAATGAAAACATATTTAATGTAACTTCTAATGAATGTAACATTTAGTACATACATTTCATCAGTAATCTTCATGAAGATATTATGAGTATCACTTGTCCAATTTCGTTATTATAATCACTAATGTTCAAATTCAAGTCTAAAGTTAAAACCATAACTCATACTCAGTCTATTGAAATTAGTTAACTTATTCAGGCTTCTAGTTTTTATTCATTAACAAATACTGTAGTGAAGGCGAACATAGGTGAGGACGACCGAATACATTTGACACAAACTTACAGAGCATCTCAATAAAATTTGAGAACTATATATTAAATCGTTAATTTGCAAAATGTCCACCAATTGTCTCGAAATGCCTCAGACTTCCTTGTTCTTACATTTTCATACAGATTGCATTCTATTCCCACTTTTGCTTTCTTGATCTTCCCTTATCATCTGCTGTCAGACATTACATTCCTGACTCGCATAATATACTACTTATATCAATATAAGTAGCACGCGACACAATACTACTTATATGTATATGATTGATCTAAAAAAAATTTTTTTTTGAATTAGGTATTTATTATGTTGATCCAAATGGTGGTCATTGGAGAGATGGAATTAGTGTTTATTGTCGTTTAAGCGGTTTAGAAACTTGTGTTAGTCCTATTACAGAACAAATGTCATCAATTTATTTATCACAAACTAAACAAAAACGTTTATGGTATTCGGAATTTTTAATGAAAACAGAAAATGCTGTAAGTTTGTGTTTTGTTTTGTTTGTTTTAATAAAATATTAAGTTTTGTTTACTTTTTCTTTGTATAATTTTCATTTAGTCAATTGAGTTGATATTTTCATTATGATTGTTTTGTTTAAAATATAATAATCACTGATTGATTTGAAATGTAAACGAAATAGGAACCTTTTGTCGTTGTTGTTGTTGTCGACGTTGCCGTTGTTTTTGAAATGTTTAACAACAAACACATGATATTATACAAATATTAAACTTATAGTAAATATACAAAACTTTTAATAACCATCTAGATTATTTATTGTAGAATTGTAGAATATAAAATTTACTAGTGAAACAGTATTTAAAGCTTAGTGAAACTTTAAAGCCGGACCGTTGTTGCTATCTTGACGTGGTGGTCGGACTTGCTTATCGTAATGAAGCAGCCGAGCTACACCGACTGAAACAACCGTTTCTCAAGGTCCTACCATATCAGACAGGTCGGTTGAAGAGCAGTAAGACCAAAAGCAACAAACCTAAGGTCCAAAGGCGAAGTTGTACTACTGACTGTACAGAGGTGCGACAGCAGTAAGGTGTTTCCTTCAGACAACCAGCATGACAGCGATGCTACCTTCCCATAAGGAGGAGTGGAGCTAGAAAAGATCGACCCTGAAAATGCACACCTCGCCTTATCCTACGGGTATCCGTCTCCGGCTGTAAGGTCTCAAGAAGTACGAAGCTAACACAAAAATTACCCATAAAAAGGTCATGTGTGACCGATCTCAAGCAGTTGTCCGCTGGGCACTGCGGTCACGCTCCCAGGTCACTAAGACCAGCTCTAATCTAATTTCCTTTTCAGGCACTTCCGAAAAACTTTTAGCGAAAGAATTTGATATAAATCCGACGTTTCATCTAGTAATCTGGTCCAAGCCTTGTCAAAGTCTTTCGCTGAGATTCTTACTCTTTAATGTCTCATATTGATTCGATGCCTAAATACTGTGAAACTATTCGATCAACTTTAGACGAAAGTTATTATTTAATGAGAGTTTATACTATTGAACTGATATTTTGTATGTATTGATTGTATTTTACTTGTTCTATACTGTTTTCACAATGATCATTTAATTTAATTTACTTAGTTCAAATATTTAACCACTTATTGAGAAGGAAGATTCAGATGGTGACAATCAATGTATTTTAATACAATATTGCAGAGAATTTTGGTAAAATGTAAAAACCATACGCTGAATATTATAAGCAAAGATGGATAGTGGCTAGCGGGGAAATCCAAGACGCGCGTTTCGTCCTATTTGGAACTCGTCAGTTGGATGTACCTGCATCTCAGAGTTGATATTCACTCTGGGACTCGAAACTAGTACCGTTCGCTTAAAACACCATCATGTTATGCACTTAACTACTGCGTCCTGATAACCAATTGCTTGTGCAATGAGATTAAGCTTAAATTCACTTGAATCTTCCCATTGATGTTTAGGACTGAAGTTGATCAGTCTCTCATTAGCATATATGATTACTGTGCGTATTGTCTCGATATTGCTTGAATTCACAAGCATTGTAGGCAAAGATTTTCACACTGAATACTTTATTTGCAAATTTCCATCATTCATCCTTCACACTCTACGTGATTCTTCAGGTTTATAATTCTATTCTATTCCGTTCAACTTGATCTTCTTAGCCTTCTGGCTGCCAAGTTTTACACTTCCGATTGGTGTTACATACTACTTATACCAGTCGATTTAAGTAACATACACCACACTAGCATCGTTTCAGGTTGCCCTACTGTAATTAACTCATTTATTAAGTACATGTACCTGGCCCTTTGAGAAATTCAATTTCTGTTATCGCTTGTGATGCCAGTCTACTGCATAGGGTGCAATTAATAGGGAGGTGATTGAACCTTATATTCTAAACACTAACCCCCAGTTCGATTGTATACTGTTATAGTAACTATAAATGATATCGTTGTAGCAAAAATCATGGTGATTTATATTCTGATGAATGAGAGGAAATTTTGATCGTAACACGTTTCAAATACACGAACTTATCTTTTCATGGTAGATCAGGCTAAATTTAATAATCAACCATTCTGTGTATCTTTACTAGATATATATTTGATTTACCAGACGTATTAGTTTGTAAGGTATCTTCGCACTTATTAATAAGTCACTACTTTTCTAATCAGCAATAATTTAGACAATTCTAAATGGCACAATAGATCGTATTTAGTATTTTAGACAGCCAAATGACAGTGAATGTAAGTAAGTACTTATTAAATCGTGAACTATATGGACAAGAGGATAGTTTTACATGGTGACTGTTAAAATATGTAAGTGTATAAGGGATAAAATGAATGAGATATATTAACTCTTTGTATATGGTCTTAGACGGATGATGTTCATTATAGTAATATAAAATTATTTACTTTAACTATTGGTGTGTTCGAAGCTTTTCATTCTGTGAATTTAACAGATAATCTAAGAATATGGTTGGTGATTATAATCGTTTACGCAACTACCACTATTACTTCAAGAGATGGTTTGTCGATCTAGGGTCCTCTGTTGACTATTTCTAATAATCTCACAGCGTATATTATTTTCTAACATGCAAAGTAGTTACTCAAGAAGCTACATGATATGGATTGAAAACAAAATAGTAGAAATTTACTGGTAAATGGAAACCAGTCCATATATATTGATTGTTTGGAACTTTCATAGATGTTCACGACTTCAATTGATCAGTCTCTTATGGTGCATACACATCTTGTGAGAATAGCCTTCGTATTGCTATTAGGTCACAAGCATTTCCAGCAGAGATGGACGGTGGTTAGTAGTGGAACCATGGATGCGCTTTACGTCCTATTTGGAGCTCATCAGCCAGATTCGCCTGCTTATAGTTGATGTTCACTCCAGTACACGAATACAGTACCTTTCTCGCGTTAACCACTTAGGGTCTTAGAGCAACGATCAATTCTGAGATTCAGGTACATCCATCTGATGAATCCCAAATAGGAAGAAACGTGCGTCCTGGATTCCACTGCTAACCACCACCAATCTTTGGAAATGGAAACTATTTACTTAGTCACACCAACATATTAATATAATATTTGTAATCTAGGAGAATATTTCTTGTTACTTTTATTTATTTATGCAAAGTTTTTGTAGCTTTAAAAACTTATAATGTTTTGCTGAGCGACATTACTGATAGTGAAATTTAGTAGTGTTGGGTACTTTATACTCAAAGGTTTAATGATCTATATTTTATTGTTTATATAGACAATATTTCCAACGCCTGATCCAGCTAGAATCGTCATATTCAAACTCAATGGTTCGGAAGACTCAAAAACTTTAAGTTCGATTTCCAGAGGGATAGTAAATGCTAGCTGTTATATGAACTCATATTACAACAAGAAATCTCTTCAAAACTGTCTGGTTTTCAATAACCATTCCAATTAAGAACACTTCATGATGAAAACAAACTTTTAATATCCTATTTTAAATTCTGTAGGTAAATAACTATAGTTTGTGAATAAACAAATTAAACAGAATAAACCCGTAGAGTCATAAAATAATATTGATAACGACATTGTTCACCTTTTAAACATTTCAACTTTACTTCAAAAATAACACATATACAACTTCAATAGTTGAATCCATGAGTCGATGTAAACTAGACTACCATTGAAAACCTGGAAGCACTGGACGAATATTTCGTTCTAATATGGAACTACTCAAAGGTGCACCTCTACGACCCAGCATACGGAACTCAAACGCAAGACCTTCGGTCTCGCGCGCGAATGCCTAACCTCTAGATCACTGAGCCGGCACCCAGCGTACATAATTATTATTTGATCGATTTCACTAAAAACTTTCATTTAAATTAGTTGTTTCTATATGTGTTATTCTTTCTTTTTTTCCTTTGTATATAAAAATAAAATGAACATTCAGCAAATCGAGTATAATATACCAAAGGATCAATTAGTTTTTCTTCAAATGTCAAGTGAAGTGGCCATACAACGATTAAAAGTGAATTGTCGAAATATACAAAATATATTAGAAATTATATCTTTGTTAAGTGATAATAATGTGTTGATTGAATTCAATGAAACTATACAATCATTTTCTATTGAAATAGAAGAAAATACATGTGGGGTAAGATTTATTATATTTTGTATAATATTTTGATATTATTAATGTTTAATATTTATTAGTATTAGAATGGGAGTTTGTGGAGATTTCAGTAATTGAATAGTTGAATTCATGAATTGATTTAAGCTAAACCACCATGAAAGCACTTGATGGCTGTTTCGTCCAAGTATTGAACTACTCATCAGTCCTGGATTCGATTCTCGTATGTGGGACCGAGGATGCGTACTACTGAGGAGTTCCATACTAGGACGAAACAGCCATTCAGTGCTTCCAAGTTTTTCATGATGGTCTAGCATAAATCAACTCATGAATTCAACTATCAAATTTGCCAGTACGTTTGAAGAGTGAATATTTATGTCATTATGTGCATAAATGACTAATTGATCAATTGGAATGTGGTATGTTTACATTTTTTCGGTGAAATTGATGGATGAGCTAAGAATGTGAATGTGTTTCAAAGGGAAAAATAAGATTGCCAGCACGGATGACTGTATTCACTATTCACTGAAAGGATAATACTAATTAATGTCATTAAATAGCTCTTTGGAATGTTATTAAGTTTAATACCATCATGAACTAAAAGAAATGAGGACGCATGATATTTGTGTTATTATTATCAATTGGTGTGATTTGATTTTCATGATTAGTGTTGTCAAATCTACAAGCTTCAATTTTCCTTCTTTCATTACTTGTGATATATAATTAAAATGAATTACATATATGTATCGGACAGTTATATAATTATTTTATTCACTAAATAATAAATCATAGATTAGTGTAAATGTTCTATGACAATTCCTAATTCTGAAATCTAAACGAATTATTATATAAGGAGATATTAGGCTGAAATTTGTCAGCAAGATTTTATACGGTATTTAGTTTTCTACATCTATAACACTATCTAAGTGATATCTATGCTGATTCAAAAGTTTTGTAAACATTAGTTTAAATGATTTTTGTCATAGAATGACAGTAATCGAGGTACCGTTGAAAACTGATTAGCACTGGACTGGTGGTTCCTCCTAACCCTAACATTTATGTTTAATGAATTATTACTTCATTTTCAACTTGATTAGTTTCAAATGTCATTGGTACTAACTAGAATTTCCAGAAATCTTTATCAAAGTTAATCACTAGTGTGTACAAAATTCAGTCAGCCAGTCAGCTACAACGTAGGACCAGTTACATACATACATTGGTCCAATTTGCCATACCTCACTAACACAACAAGATGAATATCGGATTTTCAGAAGCAGTTAATTCAGTGGTGGTAATATATAAAAGAAAGATTGCATATAAGGACGTAGTACAGGAAGAACAAGTCCGTGGAAAGAAAAATATGAAGCGATCCTAATTTCATAGTTTAAGGGAAGACAAATAGTGTATACACTTACGCCACCTAATCACGAGGACCCCAACTAAATAGTCTGCACCTAGCACCATGGCTCAGACTAGAAGTTAGTGACTTCAATCACTGATGCTACATTTTGGTTTGGTCACTCCTAACTTTCTTCCAACTATCGCCAACACTAATCAGTATTACGCATCATGGTAATCGATGTTCGTAATAATGATTATCTAATACTATTTGATTTTAATAGTTCATAGTGAAAATTAATTCCAACTCATTGTTATGTATATCAACTAAAAGGATTTTTCTATGATGTCACTTTTAATCTAAGAAATAAAATCTTATATTTAGTTATTTATAAATCATATGAATTGACAGATTTTTCTAGATAAAAGTAACTATGTGCATAGAGTCAAACTACTTTTTTTAAAAAAGAAGAAAACTTATCCATCAATTCAATAAAGATGATACTTAATTAAATCATGAATAAAAATGATCAGGTAGAACCGGAATTAAAATGATCATTTTCATTATTGATTTAAAAATTAATCAATATAATTGTACTTAAATAAATAAATATTACACCATTACAAATGAATATAGGATAGTGATGCAAGAATTTTATAAGTAGTAGCCTTTCAATCAATTATGTTTCTTATAAGATACTTATTATCATATAGATATATATTGATTTGCGAACAAAATATAAACGTATGTATATTAAGTTTATTAATACAAATAAATTTATTTGTCAAAAACTGATGGTCGTTGACGCCTAGAAATAAATAGTTAATTAGAAAAATCGCTAAACAATGATTTTAACTTAATTCTTATAAGTAATTTTAATAGTTAAGATCATTAGTCAATTGAAGCTAGACCATCATGGAAAACTTGAAAGCACTAGACAGCCGGTGAGTCCTATTATGGGACTCCTAAGCATTGAGAATCCACGATCCCGCCTTATGGGACTCGAACACAGGACATATCAGTTTTGTGCGCAAGCGCTTAACCACTAGACCACTAAGTCGGCATCTAACGGCGTTAATGTCTTACTTTAACTAATCCACGAAATTGAGTGACATATCTACCATTGTCATCAGTGAGTTACTATCTCACAACTGACTCGATTGAACTCCACTGGTCACTGCTTCTCACCAAAACTCCAGGATATACATCTTGAAGTCAGTCACTAGTGAGCATATGTTGATTAGTATCTGAAGGGTTTTTGTGGAGATTGTAGTAATTTCAATAATTGAGACCACGAGTCAGTTGAAGCTAGACCACCATAGAAAACCTGGAAGCACTGGACGGCCGTTTCGTCCTATTATGGGGCTCCTTATAAATATTTTAGAACAAGGTATTAGTTAATAAACAGTTTTGTTTTTCTCATTATTAAGTGATATATTTCAATGTAATTAGTATCACTATGGAACAATAATAATTTCTATCCTATATGATATATATTTTATTCAATTCATATACTGACCATTTCTTTGTATATGATTGATTACACTTGTTATATACATGGTGTTTAATAATACCGTTTGTGTGTAACTAGTAACTTTAATGATCTGAAAACTTATTTATTGCTTAAATAACGAACCGCCATCGTTTGATGAGTCATTGACAACCTGAAAGAACTGAATAACTGTTTCATCTTGTTTTGAGATTGTTCCATAGTAAATACCCTCAACCCATCACTTACTCAAAAACAGAAATTTCGGGTTTCTTAATATATCACAAATAGCATCTAATGTTACCAATAAATGAGTGCCTCGATTTCAGTTTGATCGACTGGTCGGATGAATTGTATCTCACTCAATAAGGCAGCTGAAGTTTTGAAGGGAACCTCAACTGAAACCATAAGTCTATACTGTTGGGTAGTCGCAGATGAGAACTATGTTTAAATTAAATAAACATCTATACACCATGTAAGGAGATAATTAAAGTTATTTGTAGCCATTCATAATAATTTAGATCCCCAACAATGTACTTACTAATTATTTTAAACTGTTACAAATGTTACTTGGTTGTTTACAGACAACATAGTATAAACATAAATAAACGAATTTATAAAGATAATAATCAAATAGGAACTCTGTAGACTCGAGTAACATTTTTCAGAGTACGTGATTTATTGTTTTATTTCTAGTTGGAATCGGCATTATTAGTAAAATTAATATGACACTAATAACAAGAAAACATTGCTAAAAGTAGATATACATTCAAACTAAATATTTCGTACATTACTGCTAATGCTAATCGATGTTTAAAATCCAGTTTTTAATTTGCAAATTTTCACTGATGCTGACGCTTAGATCAATGTTTTCAAGACTATCCATGAAAACTCAAAGTTAGATAGAGAATTTTAAAAAATCAGGTGAAATATTCCAATTATGGATTGTAAATATTGATCATTACTATTGATAAGCTTCCATAACATTTTCGATCTTGTTCTTATTTCTCTAATTTGGTTGAAAATTATCTCTGAACATTGATTATCGGTGGTTTTCTGATTCCATAACTAATACTTTCATTAAGACAAATTCCACATTGAATGTATAATTAACTGTTATTTATAAAACTGTGTTAGAGCTTGCCTTGTGATACATTCTGATGATTTCCGCAATATATATCCTGTCCACCTCAAATGTCTTTTCTTAATATACTCTTCGGCCGGAAGCAGGTTTGTTCTCTCCTACAGTAGGTCGTTGATGTTGGTATCCGGTCAGTGGACATTCATTATCTTCTGCAGACAATTGTTTAGAAACACTTGCACTTTATAGGTGATGTTTGTGGTAGTTCTCCAAGTTTCAGCTCCGTACATTAGAATTGTCTTGACGTTTGTACTGAAGATTCTGACTTTGATGATGGCCGGCAATGGTTTTGAGTTCCATATGTTATTCAACTGTAGGAATGCTGTCCTTACTTTTCCAATCCTTTCCTTCACATCTGCATCAGATACTCTACGTCCATCGATGAGGCTACCAAGGTAAGTGAAACTTTCCACCTCTTCCAAAATTCCCCCATCAAGTGTGATTGGGTCCGTGTTCTCCGTATTGTGTTTGAGGATCTCGTTTTTTCCGTCGTGTGTGTTGAGGCCTACTGATGCAGAGGTTACTGTTACACTGTTTGTCTCCACCTGTAGTTGTTGGTGTGTACGGGATGGAAGAGCTAACTCACCTGCGAAGTCCGAATCGTCTAGTTACATTCAACCTGTCCATTGTGATCAGTACTTCCCCTCAGATGTCGAGGTATTCATAATCCAGTCTACTACCAGAAGAAAGAGGAAAGGAGTAAGCATCCCTGTCTGACGCCGGTCCTCACTTGGAATGTATCAGTCAGCTGTCTTCCATATGCCACTTTGCGCTGTAGTCCGTCGTATGAATCCCGCAGTCTAAATTGGATCTTTACCGAGTCCAGTCTGTTGATTCTGAAGCTAGGTATCTGCTGAATCATTCACCAAGAAAAACAACACTCCGTTAAAAGCTTTTCCGTGTATTGATAGTAGTGTGATGCCTGTGTAGTTCTCAAACTTGCTCATATCTCATTTCTTCGGTATCTTGGTGAGGTATCCTTCTTTCCAGTCTGTCAGTGGCACTTATTCTCCCTACCAAATCATCCTAATTAGAATATGGAGCACCTTTGCAGCTAACTCTTTGTCCTTCATTAGTGCTTCAGTTGCTATGTTGTCTGGTTGTGTTGCTTTCCTACTGTTGATTTGTCTGATAGCCAACCTGATTTCTTCGATCGTTAGTGGAGCGATAACTATGGGAATATCTATACGAATATTCCTCAAGATTAGAACGAAAAGTTTGACAGAAATCGGGCGCCGAGTATAGAGAAGTCATTATATGTGAAAATTATATTTGATTATTACCCTGAAGACGTTCAGACAAGTTAGCTGGACGAAACGTTGGAATAATTTAAATTTCAATCGCTAAGATTATTTCAAATAGAATTTTCACATATAAGAATATCTGTTTGTACTGTTTCAACTTCCGGTGCGTTTGGAGGGTTGGTCTATCCAAGCGCTCCAAAATGCCCTATCCACCTATTTCGTTGCTCCCGAATCTCGCTGATTGGTTTCCCTTCCTTGTTCATGACTGGTCTCTCTAGTTTTCCACATTTCCCTACCAGCTTCTTTGTTATGTTACATAGTTGTCTCATGTCCCTTTTCAGGTCTTCCACGTATTTCCACTTGTCGGCTCTAATGCTCCTCTTCGCTCGTTTGTTTGCATCTGTGCATTCAGATTATGTCTTCACTTTCTCTGCTCTTTTTCGACTGTCGTTAATAGCTGTTTTCTTGTTCTTCCTTTCTCCAATCCTGTCCAGAGTATCGATAGAGATGCATTCCTCATGATGATGCTTCTTGAGGCCCAACAAATCCTGACACGTTGAAGTTAGTGCTTGTTAATCCCTTTCCAGTTGATCAACATGAGTGGTTTCCTCTTCCTTGAGTAGATCTTGTAAAGCTTGTAATTTGTCACTGAGAACTATTTTGAATTCGCTGAGTCTGTCAGTACTCCTGAAATGTTTCTTTTTTAATTTATTAGTACCCTACTCCTCTCTCTAAAGAGTACTTGTCCATGTTCATTTTTTAACACTTAGTGACATGAAAACTACTTTCTTTAGGCTTTTTTTTCTTCAATTTATGTATTAGCTTGCAAAAAAACGACACTTGAATTATTGATTTTTCTCTAATTCTCTATTCAATTATTAGCAAAAACAAAGTGGAAGTCTTCTTCTTACTGTACGTACAAAACAACCATCTTTATTACCAATCCGAGATATTCGAATAACAACTAATGGATTATATGATTCTGAATTATCTTTAGAAGTTGGTACAATTTGTTATGGTGGTATGGATCCTGAACAATTCAATATAACAGATATTGATAATAATAATAGTAATAATAGTAATAAAGAAGATTCAAATTACAATATTTATGATAATATTGAGCATAAATCAAATTTTCAAGTGAAAAAGTCCAATTTCAATGAAATGACTAATAATAATAATAATAATATTAGACTTGTATCTGAATCATTTTAATTTAACATTTACTATGGTTATTATTAATATTAGGAGAGGAGAGGGGGGCGGGCGGAAGATGATAAATCAACAATTACCATGGCAATATAATCAATGCTTTATCTTTAATCAAGAAATATTTGTAAATCTATTTCAAAAAAAAATAAAAAATGCAATAAGAATATGAAGAAAAAAAAACAAAAAATATATATATATTTTATACATGAATTTTATTAGATTTCATTTCATTTCTCTTTTATTTGGAAGAATGAATAGGTTTTCACATAGTGTTCCAAGTTAGTTTTCATTATCTTCTATCTTTAATCTCATTCATTCATTAAAGAATGAATATTGTATGTCATTGAATATCTAATAGAATATATGATACAATAATCAGTTAATCAATATTTTTTTAACTGATAAATTAATCAATATACGTCGAATAGTTGTCAGTTAATGAATTTTTATCACTTCATTTCCCAATCGGAAAACTTCCTCATTTTTTTTTCATGATGATAATGATGATTGTTGTTTGGCTTTGATGTTTGTGTATATGTTTGAATCAATCAATGGTTTGAAAGACAATATCAAATGGAAACAGATTATTCAGTATATAAACTTAATCATCTACTACGATTTATAATGAGTAGATTAAATGACAGATATGATCAGAGTATAACCTAGAACAAGTGTACATTGAACCAATTTGACATACAGAAATCGAAATGAAATTGATAAGCTGAATAAAAAGTCAAGGTAACAGTAGTATCTGAAAGACTAAGCAAAGAAGTTACGATTCGAAAAGGATGAATGAATTCGAAAAATAAAAACTATGGATTTATACATCAAAAACTACTTATGAAAATGTTGTATACAACTAACCTCAAGTAGTTGTCCCATGAGCTTTATAGTTACGTTCCTGGGTAAACAAGTCCCTCATTAATTAAGTTTTCTTTTCATGATTATTAGGAACAAAGGTCCCTCCGTAAAATAACTAAAAAGCGTCAAACTCCAGTACATCCCCTAACACACAAGTCCGCTGTACTCATGTAATATTGTCAACGCACATTTATGTCTTACATTGTTATTGATTGATGATTTGTAGATAGATATGAGTGTTGGTAATGAGAGAAATTTGACTTAATAGCTAAGTTAACTTCTTGAAGTGACTAGATTAGACTAAAAAAGACAACGATAATTAGAATGATATTCGGTAGATTATTATTCAATGGTCATTCGCAATAGTATTCAAACCAAAAATAGTCTCGACAGATATATAACATTAATCCATCAGATAACAACGCGATCGTTACTGTATGGTTACTTGAGATGTAACACACTTCATTACGTGTTTATCGACTGAGTAAACTAAATGATAGCTGGTGTCGCAGTGGATCGGGATGAAGTTAGAGGCAATCATACCAGAAAATAGCATCAGTTCATAAAGACACCATTTGACTGAGCCACGTAGATAGGTACAAACCACCTAGTTGGAGTTTGTGTGATTAACCTTATCAAAGATTAGAGGCTTTGTGTGACACGCCTCAGAAACATTCCCAATGAAACAGGTGCATTCACTCTTTAGTTTTCCTTATATTTTAAATTTCTATACTCCCTATACATTTCTTTATTCTACATATTCATATTTTCTTCAGTCGTATCCTCGATAAGTTTTTCTATCATCACCAATACTGTTATTATACCTGCTACCCTTGGATTTTTCTCAACATTCTCATCTCGCTATGTTAACGGAATATGGCAGCTTGGACCGACGTGCACATGTGCCGGGTTATACGTTGTGTAAAACTGACTGATGATTTATTCACTACCTCGTAAAACTCAATTCAATGGATGTCATACTTTGCAGGTACAGTTACAGTGGTTTCCATATAGTACATTACTAGATTTCACTAGAGGTGAGTAGAAACAATAGAGATAGTCGGTTTGATATGGTATGTTGAAATGAATGGTAGTGTTGGATTACCGTCTGTTGCTATGTCATAACACCCTGCGTGAGGCCCTAAGGATCCAATAACTTAGTGATTCCAAGCATCGTCACACACGCAACGGCGTTTGAAGCGAACGATACTGGGTTCGAGTCCCAGAGTGAACATGAACTCTGAGATGCAGGTACATGCAGCTGACGAGTCCCAAACAGGACAAGACGCGCGTCCTGGATTCCACTGCTAACCACTATCCATCTTTAATAATAATCTCACGCTTTATTATTTAGGTTATTTTTCCGTTATATTCTCCACAAGATGGCATGTGATACCTACAATTGAATGACAATTCAGTTTCTTTTCTGTTATGCAGCAGTACAGCAATAAATGGATAGCTCTATTTTTAATAACTGATATGTCATTTTCTTCTTTAGAGGTGATATCGATTTACATGTTCTAGCCTTTAATTCCGAAACTAGTTTTTCGAACTATTAAGCCAAATGCCTCCAACTTAAATTGTAATCAATACACGAAACAATTCTATTCAGTTTAATTGGAATATTTCGGATGGCACTGAATAAAAATAAATAAATGACGCCAAGTAAAAGTTGGTAGTATTGTTCTACTAAGTTAAAACCATCGAAAACTATTATGAACGTATTGGTTTGAAGTTTACCTACACAAAAACTATTTTGATTAACATAAAATGTACAAAATATTTCACATTAAAACCATTTGTAAGTCATTGAATAGTTTGTTTTTGTTGAAATTGAATATATATAAACACACTTTTTAGCTGAACGTTCCTTTTTTGCACATAGCTTTTAACAGGATATTGCCTCCATATAGTTGACAAACTGAGCTTTTCAACAGTGTTCTTTGAGTTACTACTCATAGCAGTGAACAGGAATCAAAATGGGTCACGTACCAACGTGACAATGGGGAGTTACTACTTTTACTTGCTTCTAGAATAGCTATCCGGACAGGTAACTAATTTAATTAAGACAAATCAGTAACTAGGGGCAAATTTATATACCCAACTTTGAGATACCTTTTTATTGTGAAGGATAAGTAGTTTGAATCTGGAAAATAAATGATTGAAAATCAAGTATCCTAACAACTATCTCATTGGCCACCCATCACACGAGAGAATAGAATAATTGTTATATAGCTGAATATTAAAAACCAACAATAGCCATGGGTTATAAGCAACTAATATGAAGGACAATGAGAAGAACTGATCGATCAATATGACAAACAAAAGCTGACATATTGGCTTATGGAATCGTAACTCAAAAATAACCAATAGCCAGTCGAAAACTGTCAACAATCAATGTATGTATCATTAACATTTCCGTACGATCCATTAGGCTTCGCCTAGCGCATTCATGAACATCAATAAAAAAGGATGAAGACTACTATTTACACGAAATCTATTTTACGTTTTATGGATCTCTTCAAGTGCTTTGAAATCACAGTGACCTTAATGAAGACAATTGTTGTGTACGAACACAAGTATAGAGTGAAAAACAGATAAATATGCACAAATTTGTGTGTGCAAACACTAGTCTGTTTCGCTAGTTTAAAGAAAATATATTAAAAACGAACTCATCGAACAAATGATAATGGGGATATAGGGGCTTTTATCACTTGTGAAGATGATATTGATTATAAATTGGGATAGATGAAAACAATTAAAGCAATAATGTATACAAACACACAAAGAAATAGGTGAAATTAAGGTTGTTTCGATAGTATTTATGACTAGAAAATGTTACTTTATGTTATAAAATTAATCTGTCAAGCATCCGTGATGTGTTGCAGAGCTATATGGTATGGTACTAGCATTGACGATAATAATAATAGTAACGACAATGAATATGAAGAAGACAGTTCAAAGAACGCTGTTCGGATCAAGTAAAGGATCACGTTGGTGCCGATAGCGAAGAGCTGTCCATACTCCTAGAAGCTGTAGGCAAAGAAAACATCATGATTAAAACGATGAGCTAATGAAAACAAATATAAGAATTTAATGATTACGGAATTAACCACACACACAAAAAGAAGAGGGTCGAGAATCATCGACCTGACATTTTTGAGAACACCTACATACTCATTTAATATCCATAAACCTACTGCCTACTGTTTTCATCGGAGTTCTCTCGTAACTATATTTGAATAAGACAAACACACACAAACATAACTACTATCCACATATTAAGCCAATTAAGACAAACAGACTTACAGACATGGCACTTGACATATTTTACGCATGACCGCCAGCCTGAAACTTTAAGAGTGTGACAAGGGTATATAATTTGAGTTCTCTTTCAATATTTTTGAGCTATTTATGTACTAATCACAAGCTGGAGCATTACATAATAAATGACGCATTGGTTTCGCAGAAACCATAAAAAGCTGGTAGTCAATTTGAACTTAAGCAAATGGAAATGAAGACAGTGTTATAACTACGTTAAGTCCGCTGGGAACACCGTTCATATAATACTGAAGGGTGGAAACGCATGCTTAAAAAATGTATCAATAATTCAATGACGTAAAATTTTTATTCATAATTTTCTAATAGCCTCTACATTCAGTAAGCAGAAGTGCTTAGCTTATGGAATGATAATGGAAAGAATCACGGGGGACTTTTTAGAAACAGTATACTCTGGTGCTGATTCAGATTTACAAGCATGTAAATTTTATTTCCAAACGCTACAAAGTCATGATCCTAAACCTATTGATAAGGATATATTTATGGATCTTCCATAATTTTTTTTCAGACAGTAATGTTCCGGCTGCTTATGAGATTAGGCTTTCAGATCACAGGCTCAACATACATTCGAGGTAATTATATCATTAAAAATACACTCGTTTGGGTTTATATGACCTCTTTCACTTATCCGACCGCTGTCAAAGACTTTTATCTCTCTGAATCTTTCTAACTGATTTCATATTTGATTGTAGAAGGCCATCCTGCAGTACAGTCAGTCAGTCAGCTACAGTACAGCTGTTTTACAATCATGATTACAGTAATAGTTTTCCACCAGTTGCATATGAACTGTATGTTATAAGGTT